AAAATTCTTGGCCTTATTATCGCCAGGTACGCGATCTAATTATATAATGTTTATCAGAATTATATACACATTAATTAGTTTGGTGTATCACGCGACATATATAAATTAAATAAACTAATGGTGTGTATAACGGAAGTAACAAATTTGTAGTCATACAAATCCCACATTCCACGAAACGCAAGTCGAACTGCAAGGACTCGAACACGGTCTATCCAATGGCGAAGGGAAGGGGGTACATCCCCCCCATCCCTTAATTTGTGGAGAGGGATGAAGGGACAGCGTAGGGCAGGGGGGGATAGGGATTAAGGAATGAGTGGGGGAAGGGATAGGAGATTCGGAGGATGGGTGGGGGGGGGGTGGGAGAGGGAGGGATGGGGGGTCGAACCCGGGGAATACTGCAATCGAGGTCCGAACTGCCACACTGTCGAGGACTAATAAAGCAAGAGGCGGTAATCCGGCCCTTACGGCGCCCCGTCGGAGAGGCCAAACTTCCCCGCCGCAATTAGCCCATCATTTGGTATTCCAGGGTGCCTATGGTCGCTTTAGCGGCGCCCGGGTGAGGGAGGGAGAGAGAGGGAGGGAGAAACGAGAGAGAGGGAGAAAGAAACAAGAGGGGGAGAAAGAAACAAGAGGGGGAGAAAGAAAGAAGCAAGAGGGGGAGAAAAAGAAACGAGAGGAAGAAACAAGAGGGAAAGAAACGAGAAAGAAACGAGAGAGGGAGAAAGAAAAAGGGAGAAACAAAAGACATGAAATCGGTCAAAAATGATAACTGAAAAAAATGGAAAGAAACGGGAATAGATAGAGAATCGGAAAGAAAATGGACTTTGAAAACTTGTCGAGGAATTAAAATAAGTTAAAATTGAGAACATGGAAAAATAAGGGTGAAAAAAACTTTGTAACGGGGAATTAAATAGCAAAGGGGGAAGGGGGGGGGGGGCGACGGGTGGGAAAGGGAGTGATTGGGGAAGGAGGGAATAGGGAAAAATGAGGAGATATGCGCAAAAATAAAATAGGGAAAAACAATTTAAAAAAAATTATTGATTTTTTCTCTGGCCGAAAATTCACCGATTTTTTTTCTGTTTATACCTTATACTGTACAGAGCATAGTATACCTTATACTGTAGAGCATAGTATACCTTATACTGTACAGAGCATAGTATACCTTATACTGTACAGAGCATAGTATACCTTATACTGTAGAGCATAGTATACCTTATACTGTAGAGCATAGTATACCTTATACTGTAGAGCATAGTATACCTTATACTGTAGAGCATAGTATACCTTATACTGTAGAGCATAGTATACCTTATACTGTAGAGCATAGTATACCTTATACTGTAGAGCATAGTATACCTTATACTGTAGAGCATAGTATACCTTATACTGTAGAGCATAGTATACCTTATACTGTAGAGCATAGTATACCTTATACTGTACAGAGCATAGTATACCTTATACTGTAGAGCATAGTATACCTTATACTATACAGAGCATAGTATACCTTATACTGTACAGAACATAGTATACCTTATACTGTACAGAGCATAGTATACCTTATACTGTAGAGCATAGTATACCTTATACTGTACAGAGCATAGTATACCTTATACTGTAGAGCATAGTATACCTTATACTGTAGAGCATAGTATACCTTATACTGTACAGAGCATAGTATACCTTATACTGTAGAGCATAGTATACCTTATACTGTAGAGCATAGTATACCTTATACTGTAGAGCATAGTATACCTTATACTGTAGAGCATAGTATACCTTATACTGTAGAGCATAGTATACCTTATACTGTAGAGCATAGTATACCTTATACTGTAGAGCATAGTATACCTTATACTGTAGAGCATAGTATACCTTATACTGTACAGAGCATAGTATACCTTATACTGTACAGAGCATAGTATACCTTATACTGTACAGAGCATAGTATACCTTATACTGTACAGAGCATAGTATACCTTATACTATACAGAGCATAGTATACCTTATACTGTACAGAGCATAGTATACCTTATACTATACAGAGCATAGTATACCTTATACTGTACATAGCATAATAAACCTTAAACTATACAGAGCATAGTATACCTTATACTGTACATAGCATAGTATACCTTATACTGTACATAGCATAATAAACCTTAAACTATACAGAGCATAGTATACCTTATACTGTACAGAGCATAGTATACCTTATACTGTACATAGCATAATAAACCTTAAACTGTACAGAGCTCGTACTTCATACTACAAGTTAAGGGCAGTTATGGAGAGCAAAAGGGCTTTTAAAGTAATAACTTCTGGACGTTTCATTTGTATTTAATTATTAAAAAAGGGTCCGCCATGACTGGTAGAAAATATACCTGGGAGGGAGAGAGACAGACGAGTAAAGCTAATAATAAAAGGCAAAGAAAAATGGGGTAGAAAAATGCTGTGCTGAAAAATAATAGTAAAAAGAGGAATAAAAAAGGTAAAATATCGGCAGTAAAGAGTAATTAGGGGAAGGAAAACAAGCAAAAAAAAGTATTTCAAACAAAAAAAAATCCCTAATTGCCTTGACAAGGTAGTTACTGGTGTCTTGCCTTGACAAGGTAGTTACTGGTGTCTTGCCTTGACAAGGTAGTTACTGGTGTCTTGTTGCCTTGACAAGGTAGTTACTGGTGTCTTGCCTTGACAAGGTAGTTACTGGTGTCTTGCCTTGACAAGGTAGTTACTGGTGTCTTGCCTTGACAAGGTAGTTACTGGTGTCTTGCCTTGACAAGGTAGTTACTGGTGTCTTGCCTTGACAAGGTAGTTACTGGTGTCTTGTCAAAACTGATAACTGAATTTACTTATCATTCAGCATTTTATAATTTTAAATAAGCCATTATTGGGCTATTCTCCTCCAGCGGGCGACCTCAAACGATACACATCAATTTTAACTTTCTATATACAACTTTATTTTCTCAAACTCCATTATTGTACTTTTTTAATTTGGTCTATTGTTAGGCCTAAATGAGGTTGGGGAATTTAGGTTTGGCTGTAAATTAGATTGAAAAGACTGCGTTTACATATTCTATTCGATTATACATTTCGATCATTAGTTGGGAGTATCGAGTAGTGTTTTGTTTTTGTATTGATAAAACCGAGTATGACCTCTCAAGGGCGGGCTTCGGCAAGAGAACCTGTCTGTTCCGTCAGGTTGTCATGACCTTACCAGAGAAAGATGCTGCCCCCATGAAGATAGGAGCATTACTGGATTAAACAAATAAGAAGTGAGACAAGCATTAAGCAGATAGGATGAATGAAATGAATGGGAAAGAAGGATATATACTAGGGGAAGGAGAGGAAGAGGGAGGGAGAGGGAGAGGGGGAGAGGGGGAGGAAGAGGGTGGGTAAATAAAGTTTGACAGCGTGAACAGTGAGGCACAAAAAATAATGGGAGAAATTGGCCAAAGGAGATACGTAGGCAGAGGGAAAAGGGGATTAGAGGGGAAAGATGGACGGGAGGAGAATGATGGGGAGGGAGAGTCTGAGGGGACGTCAGATCACGAGAAACAGACAGTTTATCGCAGCGTCAAGAACCGAGGCAAGGACCAAAAAAAAAAAAAAAATCTAAGCAAGGACAAAAAAAAAAAAGGCAAGGCACAACAAAAAAAATCGAGACACGGAACAAAAAAATCAAGGCAAGGAACAAAAAAAAATCAAGGCAAGGAACAAAAAAAATCAAGGCAAGGAACAAAAAAAAAATCAAGGCAAGGAACAAAAAAAAATCAAGGCAAGGAACAAAAAAAAATCAAGGCAAGGAACAAAAAAAAATCAAGGCAAGGAACAAAAAAAAATCAAGGCAAGGAACAAAAAAAATCAAGGCAAGGAACAAAAAAAATCAAGGCAAGGAACAAAAAAAATCAAGGCAAGGAACAAAAAAAATCAAGGCAAGGAACAAAAAAAATCAAGGCAAGGAACAAAAAAATCAAGGCAAGGAACAAAAAAAAAATAATCAAGGCAAGGAACAAAAAAAAAATCGAGTTAAATGTTAGATTTCGATCACTAGGGAATGAGAAGGACTGAATGAGAACACTGCAAGAATCTACCAACATTCAAGGAAATGAGTCACAATAACGTGGCTGAAGTATGTTGACCAGACCACAAAATCGACTTGAGAATGGTCCAGGACGGACCGAAACGTCGTCGTCCCTTCAATTTCTAGTGTGTGGTCTGGTCAACATTCAAGGAAACATTTTAACAGAGCATTAGACTCCGTTGTAAACACAGTCTTTTCTGGGGAAGAGGGAGTTCTTAAAGTGTGTTTCAAAATCTAAATAACAGAAGCCAACACCAACAGACTCTGAACCAGCCATATACAATAATAGCGTACGAATTGCAGAGGAGGAAGTAGTAACGATCAGGACCCGGATTCACGAAGCAGTTACGCCAGTACTTACGAACGTCTACATCTTTCCTCAATCTTTGACGGCTTTGGTTACATTTATTAAACAGTTTACAAGCATGAAAACTTTCAAATGAGCTGTTATTGTTATAACCGGCCTCCTGGTGCTTCGGAGTTCATTAACTGTTTAATAAATGTAAACAAAGTTGCTGCCAAAGATTGAAGAAAGATGGACAGGTTCGTAAGTGCTTGCGTAGCTGCTTCGTGAATCTGGCCCCTGGTTCTTATGTCAGGACTAATCCTTCAGCATACTGGTGAAAGATTGTTCTATCCATAACATTCAACGATTGGATCTCCCTTCAGGGATGTTATGCAGGTGAAATCACCTCATACAACCTCACCCAGCCCCTTAACCTCACCCCTCGTTACTCAACCTATTTATAAATGCTAATGGGTCATTCATAATGGCACGTGGACCATCTCCATTACTTTGTACCTTACTTACTGCAGTGTACCGTACTTCCTGTAAGTAACCACTGTAATTCTTATTTAAATAGTTTTTAATAGACGTGAAAAACTATGGAAACGAGATGGTTTCAAATCAATGAGAATGTTTACTAGACAACTTTTTTATTTAGTGGATAAGACATACAAACAATAAATTTAACAAAGCCATAATAATTAGTAACAGGTCAAAAAAACAACTTTAAAAATTAAATAAGTTTAAATGTTAGGTAAAAAGTTAAATATATCACGGCTATCTATACAGAAATTTTTAACACTGTAATGCAACATTTTAAAAAAATTGAACTATTAACCTAATTAATTTATCAGACTTGCACTCAAATAGTTTGTCAATTATTGTTTTCTTATCAGAGTCAATAAATATTCGAGATTCAAGTTATAATTAAGAGACTTTAGTCGCCCTATAAATGTGGAATTTAATCGACTGATTCAAAGATTTGTTTTCACAACTGGTCGTGCAGTCTATGTTTTTAATTAGATGATTTTATGTTTAACAAAAATAAGTAAATATATATTTTATAACTTTTTAAAGTCTAAGTAAATGCGTTGTCAAGATATCTATTTAAGAAGGATTTCTTCCCAGGTGAAAGTGAAAGTTCCAAATACAAGATAACTGAAGCTGTAATTACAGTACACCTCTATGCCAAACTATTCTTTCAGATTAAATAAACGGTACCTGAATTTGCGTAAACAGATCACTAAGCAAGAATTCACGTTGAAAGCACTGATATCCTAGTAGATATGGACCTCTGTAAACACCAAAACAGTCTTTCAATTAATAATGATTCTCCAGAGAAAGTTTCAGAGCACGATTGAAATACAATCCACACTAGGATTTCCCCTGATAAAATCTCTTGTATAGTTAAGTTTATACTGAAGCTCCCTGATCTCAATCATCCCCTAATCCTCATCTCTAACACCTCGCCTGGGAGCCGAGGGATGGTCTGCCTGGAGTGAGAACAGCTCTGCCCGGCTACAGAGATTCTATGGACGAATTTCTCTCCATCAAAGCTCATCCAGGCTTCTAGAGTCAACTTCCCAGGCATGTGAAGTTCGCCTTCCTTCCTGAAACTACAAATTACAGGTCAGAATTTTCATTTAAAATCTTTTGTCTCATGCTTTCTACCTGTTCAGAGGCCAGCGTTTTGCAACGATGGAAATTTAAACAGTAGTTTAGTTCTGGTATATTGCAATCACCAAACCCTCCTTGACACTCACCGGTGTATGCCTTTGTGACAAAACCAGGTGATTAGGCCATCCCGGTTGATGACATACAGGCAAAGCTGCCCCAAAGGTAGAACAGAGAACCGGGCCTCAACGGGCAGTGAAACCGGAAGCTCTTGGACCAAGAAAAAATTTGGGTTGGTTGTCGGGTTGGGAGTCTTCACGGCGCTGCCCAGGTACCCCATCAGTGTGACCCCTTCTCTGACGGTCCAGTCTAGTCTGAAAGGTGGAATTCGCATCAGGATTTTACGTTCGAAGAGCTTCCTCCATATTATCTCACGTGTACAGCATCCAAGAACGTAACACTACATGATGATGATGGTAGCCTATCTTGTCTGTCTGGTGTTGCTTCAGAAGCATTTAATCGAATGTACTGGATCAAACTTTCCCCACTTTCAACTCCCCCATAGTGCCTAATGTCCACACTGACCTGTAGACAGCCACTTTGCTACCCAGGTCACCATGCACATCCTCTGAGAGCGCCGCCAGGAGAAGATCAGTATCGTAAGAGGCCAGCTCGACCCACACAACGTTCTCAAGCCGCTCCTCCTGTAGGAGGAGACGCCAGCGAAGAACGTAAGATCAGAAAAACACACACACTTCATTGTCGTTATCACTGTCCTGGGTTACAACTGCCTCTGGATAAACTTTCAGCGTAGGGTCTTAATAACAGCTCCTCAATTGCTAGATTTTTATACTATTATATAACTAAAATTAATAGAGTATACTATATTTTAGTGGGTCATAAGGCTATATTAATAAATCTATATAATATTGTTTAGTGCAGTTTTTACTGACGATAATCCATGATAGATTAACTGGCTTGACAGTAAGCTACCATGCATGTTAGAGGCGTTTTAGTTAATATTTGATAGATTAAATATTTAAATAAAATGATGGTACTTTTTCAAAGTGTAGCGGCGCCCATCCACTCATCCCCCCCCCCCCCACCCACCTTTCCCTCACCAATCGCCCCCATCTTTACAATCACCAATCCCTCTGAACAATCCACCGGCGACCATTTATAACCCAGTCACACCCCGTTCCCCAATCGTCACCACCCACCTGCACCAGGTAGAACTCTCCGAAGTTATCATCGTAAGCGTAGATGAAGACAGATCCAGCATCCCTGGAGGAGAGGCCAGGGTCAGCCACAGCCATGATGGTGACGACTCTACCGTCTGGGTACCGGTGCTTGGCCACAGACACCTAGACAGACAGACACGGGCATGAGAGGCGGGACCAAAGAGCCAAAGCTCAACCCATGCAAGCACAGCTAGGGGAGTACATTCTTAAAACGTCGTCACCTATATACAACGCTGCAATTGATGGGAAGAAAAACCATTCACAAACATGTCATTATATTACACTTTCGTTACAATGCATCAGATTCCTGTCAATCATTTGTTTTCATGGGATTTTTAGTCAAGAACTTGTGTTTACCAAGGTGGAGGTTTGTTATCAAGGCAAAAAAAATTTGAAAAAGGGGGGGGGACGCAAAATCTTAGTGAATAGGCCTAGTACGAGTAATTACAAATCACGTTTAATGAATACAAATCATATAAAGAATATTTAGCCGACTGCATATTGCAAGGTTCCCCCCCCCCTCTGTTGGAAGTTAATAATCAACTTCAACCTGGGGCGTATGGTTGCTGAAATAGGAATGCGTGTATTCGTAGTTAACACAGGTTAAGTCGGGGATGAAACTTCACTGGAGCCCCAATATCCCAGGCTAAGGTTACAACACCAGGCAGTAGCACAATACACCAAAGGTCTACCTAAAGGGGGAAAAAAACCTGCTTGTGTATACCTTCAAGGATCATACCACCAACCAGGATTGGTCAGAGACCGGGCCGAGGAGCACAGTGATCCCTGCAACCATAAATTAGATAATATTAACAGATCTACTATAATATTCACCAGCTTCCCAGCTGGCTCTTCCCTCCCACACCCGCACGAAGGTGTAGGTGAAGGGGTTAAATATCACCTACACCACCAAGCTCACCTCTACAGGATTTGTCGTGCTTATACGCTGGTGTACCGTGAAGCCGCTCGGCCCCTCACACAGCAGCACTGTGTCGCTGCTTCGACCCTCAACCACTACCAGGCACACCGTCTCCCCCAGGACCACCACCTGCCCACCAGGAAGAGAGAGAAGTGTACTAAACTAGTTTCGTACATAAAAATGGGGGTTTCCAAGGCTCAAATTGGGGTGGGGTTTCCAAGGCTCAAATTGGGGTGGGGTTTCCAAGGCTCAAATTGGGGTGGGGTTTCCAAGGCTCAAATAGGGGTGGGGTTTCCAAGGCTCAAATTGGGGTGGGGTTTCCAAGGCTCAAATTGGGGTGGGGTTTCCAAGGCTCAAATTGGGGTGGGGTTTCCAAGGCTCAAATTGGGGTGGGGTTTCCAAGGCTCAAATTGGGGTGGGGTTTCCAAGGCTCAAATTGGGGTGGGGTTTCCAAGGCTCAAATTGGGGTGGGGTTTCCAAGGCTCAAATTGGGGTGGGGTTTCCAAGGCTCAAATTGGGGTGGGGTTTCCAAGGCTCAACTTGGGGTGGGGTTTCCAAGGCTCAAATTGGGGTGGGGTTTCCAAGGCTCAAATTGGGGTGGGGTTTCCAAGGCTCAAATTGGGAGGTTTCCATATCTAAAAGTGAAAGGATTTAATTTGAGTTATGAAGTGCATTTAAAGAGCCACTGATCATTTCCGGTGTTCAGGAACGTAATTTGTCATTTTGTTTAATATATTAAGTTTTGTCTGAACTAGAAAATAAGGCATCTAACTCCCAAAATTTTTGTGGCATTTAAGATAAGAACTCACTATACATTTCACTTGCTTATCAGCATAACCTGGTGCACTAATTAAGCATAGTGACATCCTATCCTTGTCTGATATCACTTATATTCAATAGTTAAGCAGTGATACCTCTAGCCTTGTCTGATGGCACTGTTCCATTCAGTGAAACAGTGGCACCCTAGCCTTGTCTGGCATCATTGCCCTTGGCACTACAACCCCCTCCCCCCTGAAGCGCTACTGGAATATGACCAATGACTGGCAGTACATTCAAGTGCCACTCAAAGACTCACCTGCATATCAGCAATACCAGGCACTGTGGTGTTAACGTTCTCTACGATGGCCTCGTTAGGTGTCAGGTGCCACAAGCGAAGAAGCTCGTCCCCCTCAACACGACCCTGAAGGTTGAAACAAGGTGACAGAACAGTGATTGACTTGCAGCAGACTGGTGATTAAAGAATTATGATCATATTAGTCAATATTTAAAAAAAAATCCTTGCGCAGGAGGCGACAATACTTGCTCTGTACTCAGGCCTATGAGTACATAATCCTATGGTCTATGTACAAATAATCGCCAACAGAACCTAAACACCTAACCTATGCATATATATATGCACAATATGCTATTATAATTTATATTTTGTGAACATTCCCCTTTTGAATGAACAGGATGTTAAAATGGATGAATGCGTCTGTGGGGGTCGACCGCTGGATGGAATGGACTAGTTGAGGATGGGGACACGTGGGGACACTAAAAAGCCCCGAAATCAAGATAATCTCAAGATGGGTTAACGTATAATTGTCTGACCTGCTGGGTGGAGGCGTTGAAGCTGGTGAAGACGTCGCTGGGGAGCCCTTGGTCGTCTTGCTGGCACAAGTGACCCATCGCAAGCTTCTGTTGACCGCTGTGGGAGGTGAAGCCCACCACTTCGCTCGTACAGTTACCCTCGAACGACATACCTGTGGAGCCACAGACAAGGGGCCACATTCACGAACGAACTTACGCAGACACTTACGAACCTGTACATCTTCTCAATCTTTGGCGGCTTTGTTTCCAATTATTAGACAGTTAATGAGCTCCGAAGCACCAGGAGGCTGTTTATAACAATAACAGTTGATTGGCAAGTTTATGCTTTTAAACTGTTTAATAAATGTAACTAAAGCCGTCAAAGATTGAGGAAAGATGTACACGTTCGTAAGTGCTTGCGTAACTGCTTTCGTGAATCTGGCCCAAGGACATTACGGGCTTAGCCGTGTTTACCAATAGCTTCAGAAATCTAGCCCGTTCTCCTAAGGTTTCCCCAACGTCAAGAAATTGTCGTTAGTCTAACCTACCAGAGGACCCAAAAACAAAACACCCGCGTACGTGCGTAATTGTATGGTACATAAATTATATTTATATTCAAGCAACGGCTTACTGGTTAATATTCTAAAAATGTTGAAATCTTGTTTTTTAAGTTCGAATTCTACAACTGCATATTCTAAACGACTTCTCCTTTCCAAGAATCACGGGTGTCTTAAAGATACACACTTTAAGAACGGGATTGTATAGCCTAGCCTGAAATATACGTAGATCCTCCTCTGGCTTCATGCAGGTCGGCGTTCAATCCCCGACCGTCCAAGTGGTTGGGCACCATTCCTTCCTACCGTCTCATCCCAAATCCTTATCCTGACCCCTTCCAAGTGCTGTATAGTCGTAATGGCTTGCTGCTTCCCCCCCCCCCCTAATAGCTACCTTCCCTCTGGCTTAAAGACAACGTTCAAGCAACATAAGAAATGATCATACCTGCGGAGCGATACCGGTGAGAGGCCGTTTCATACACCAGGACTGACGTGTAGTTTGCCTTCGTCACAACTACCAGGTAATTAGAGGCCAGGACCGGGGCCACACCATCGACCGGGCCAGCAGAAGCCTTCCCCCAGGGTAGCCACAGGGGTACAATCCTCTCTGGTATCTCCTCGAACCTCTGAACGCTGCGCCACCCCCAGTACTCCCTCACCTGAGCTGGGATCACAACATCTAATTATTGGAACAATTGGAACAAGATTATACCGGGAAAATATATGTGCATTACTAGGTAAATAATGGCATTAAAAGATTTCCCCATCAACAGAAAATCAAATTCCTGCTAGAACCATCATAAAACATAATATAAGAATTAAGGTAACTACAGAAGGCCTTTTGTAACTGAATAAAGGTAACTGCAGAAGGTCGGATAATGGACAGATAATTGTACTGAATAACCAAACTTAACTGAATGACCTAATCAGCATTTCAATGCCAAAATCTGTGGTGGCCATTTCATCTAAGACAAACAATGTACAAGCACAACATTCTTCCAGCCTTTACACACACTTGGAGCGACTTCAACACAAAAAAATCAAACTGGAGTCGTTTGGTCTATCATAACATCTCTCCGATCATTCGGTCACTGAAGCAGGAAAGCACTTCAGGATAAGATTTGTGAAGGAGTAGAGGGAACGAGTGGAGACTGAACTGAATGAGACTTGTGTGTGAAAATGTACCAGAGGATCAGGAAGCAGTTCAATCTGTAACCAGCTGGTGAAAAGCGAAGCCCAGGAGCTTAACATTTGCCCAGGAATCCCATTGATGTAAACTTACCTTTGACAAATACACTCAAGTGCTCGCTGAGGCCGCGGACGTTGGTGAAGGCGAACAGGAGGGGTTGCAGGTCGAACATTTTGCCGATAGACACTTCCGTCAGGTTGACGCGCGTCACCAAATAGCTGGCGTCCAAAAAGATCACCAGTTGCGTAAAGTGGACGGGTGAGGCCACACTAACGTTCCTGTCCAGCCGGAACTGTTGGCGACGAAGGTGGTGAATGTGACCCTCCCTTTGCCTTCACGTCTTTCCCTTAAAACCTTTCCATTACACCCTTCAGCACCACCCGCACAATCCTTTTTTTTAATTCACTACTACACCTACATTTTCCTCAATTAGCTATTGATACAGCTAATGGCTTCCAAGAGCCTCCACTTACGGCTCACTATATAGCCCGTGCTACTTGGAACTATTTGTTCAGAGTAGCTGAATCCAAAAACAACAACCTAGTCAGTGCGCAGCCACTTTGGGGCTTCTCCATCACTCTCAGCCCCCCCCCCCCCCCAAATCTACAGCCCAACCCAGCAGTGAGCGCTACTCACCGTGCTGTTAGCGAGGTGCGTCAGGTTGAGGGTGTTGAAGAAGCCGTCGGTGGCTACAAATGCCTCGCTTCTCACTCTCCCGCCTGCAGGAGAGAGAGAGAGAGAGAGAGCATGTTTACCTTCCAGTTCCACTTGTTATTACATTTCACCTTTGTAAATGTACATTAATGACTATGTAAAAGACACATTGAACGCTTTATGTAGGGCATACGTAAATATGTATCTATGTATTTACGTATGTAGGTTATCTTAGCATTTTAAAAGCACCGAATCACCTTCTGTGGCCGAGTGTTCAATAAACCCTTGAACTATATGTTTAACACATCTCTAATCCTGTCCATGGAGGACAGAAGAAAATGTATATATGCTGGTTAGCATTGTAAATGTGTGGCCACGTCTGTGGTTGAAAATAATAATAATAAAAAGTTCCACTTGGGTCGCGGCAGCAAGACAAACTTTCATCTGAGGGGAACCATGCAATATTGTTGACCATGAAACAGTACTGACCAGACTGGGTGTTGATGGTGAGCGCGCCAATCATGACCTGGTTCTCAGAGAGGCTCATGAGACGACCCTTGGCGACCTGCACGCTGTCCACCAAGCCATGCACGCTATCGTCCCGTCAGCACCACGCCGGCGTGTGCACGCAGCCCGCATGACAACATGGGAGCCCCAAGCGTCAGTTTTGGGAACAAGTGAGGAGCGTTGGCGTTAGCAACAGGATTATAATTACACGATAATCTATCATGAAAAAAATTCACACAAACAATTATGCAACTGTAAAACTCCATTGTTCTGTATACTAGCGTGGGGGTGTATGAGCTTCGCATAAAGAGACATTAAAAAACTGGGGTACCAATAAAAAGCAAAATAATTCCTTAGTAAGGAAGTTAATTTTTATGCACGAGGTTAGACTTGCAATTAAGACCTTCATAGAATTGACCACAACACTAGCATCGCTGCCATCGCTAGTAAGAGAATTGTTGGCCTTGTGTAACACATACGAGCGAAAAGCGACGTTCTCTGTACTTGGACAGAAAAAGTGTCTGAACCGCTATGATTACAGTACATAATATTTTGTCTGTTTAGGGATTTTCACATCAAAATAATAATAGAGAACAGGTTGAACAGTGAGCTAACAAACATATGTACAAGAGCGTGTTCTATCTAGAGTACGTAGAAAAACATTATTTGAGGAGAGAAAAGAAATTGGGTTCGGATTGGACCCCACATGTATCCATAACAACGACTTGCTTGCTCTTCTGCAACTAGTTTCTTGAAAATGGAGTCACGGAAGAAGCCTTTCCGTTCCCTCAGGAGACTTACACGATATTAGGGAGGTGAAGGGCGTGGGTGCCGGAGAAGGTGGTGAGGCCAGGAATGTGTCCACACGAGAACCTGTTGACCCAGGAGCTGAAGGCGACGGAGACGTCCACCCCCTGCACCGTCCTGGAGGAGACTAGAGATGTCAGTAGTGCAGGTGGGTAGAGGCCACGGTCTTCCCGCGCTTTCACTATCGTTCCAAGACTGACCTTCCAGGAATGAGGTTGCTACACTATCGTTCCAAGACTGACCTTCCATGAATGAGGTTGCTACACTATCGTTCCAAGACTGACCTCCCAGGAATGAGGTTGCTCCACTAACCTTCCAAGATTGACCTTCTAGACAGCGCCGGTGTGGACGTGACAAAGTATGACCTCACAACATTACCAAATAGGGTCAAGTACTATTAACACATTTTAACTGAACATTTGCTGTAAAAATCACAATTTAAAACATTTTGTAGAGTATTGGTGGTCTCAAACCCGCCCAATTAAATCCGAGTACCTCAGAAAAAAATATATATTTTTGCTAATTTTATTAATCAGGAAAAAATTAGGCAAACTGCTTTCCTTCTGAACGAGGCTTCCCAAGATCCAACAATTACCAACCTGTGCTCAGGTAAAGCAATATTTTAACAGCGATCACAAACTAACATTCTATAAACAAACTTCATTAATATTTACATTCAAATATTTCCCATTTAAATCAGTTTCTAGAGCAACAAAAATTACTCCTGGTTATTAAATAAAAGACAAAATAATGTTTGCTTTTGGTCTGGACCTATCAGTCTCTGGAGGGCTATTAAGACCACCACAATATCTTACACACCAATCAGCAAGTTTACTTTAGTCCCAGGACTAATGTAAACTGTGCACCGAGAAACGGGGTGTACACATATCTACATGTGCAGACGAGGAGTCACAATAACGTGGCTGAAATATGTAAAACCAAACCACACACTAGAAATTGAAGAGACGACGACGTTTCGGTCTGTCCTGGACCATTCTCAAGTCGATTGTGAATCGACAATCGCCTTTAGAATGGTCCAGGACGGACAAAAACGTCGTCGTCCCTTCACCTTCTAGTGTGTGGTTCGGTCAACATCTCTCCGTTGAAATAGGACGCCACTGAAAACTCAGTAACCACACCTGTTGTCTAGGATGCTGAGTGCTTTACTAACGGTGACGTTCTTGATGAACGTCTTGGCAGCGGTGACCAGACACGGCGTCGTCTGCTGGCAGAAGCGAGTCATCATCTTCCCGTTGACGGTGTCCGCGGTGATCAGGTTCTCTGTGGCGGGAAAGACCAGGGGGGCCAGATTCACGAAGCAGTTACGCAAACACTTACGAACCTGTACATCTCAATCTTTGGCGGCTTTGTTTACAATTATTGAATAGTTAATGAACTTCGAAGCACCAGGAGGCTGTTTATAACGATAACAGTTGATTGGCAAGTTTTCATCCTCGTGAACTGTTTAATAAATGTAACCAAAGCCGTCAAAGATTTAGGAAAAATGTACACGTTCGTAAGTACTTGATTCACGAAAAAGTTACGCAAGCCCCATGTCAGGCGAGTGGGCAGAACAACGAAGATTATTGCAAAGAAACGCAAAATGTCTTTACGAGCTCCTCATGAGTGGAGGAGGAGCAGGCGGAGACCCATTCAACAGCACCAGCAGGCAGTGACAGGCCAGGGGGTCGAATCCAACACGTTACCAAAATCAGCCACATCTTAACTTTAAATTACCTGTCCACGTCGAGCCCGAGGGAAAAATCAACTTTCTAAGCCAGCCCGACAGGTTCAGGATGAAGGCTTGGGTAGGTGAATGGGTGCTGGCAGAGGGTTGTGTTGATAGTGGTGGTGTTCCCCTAACAGTGGTTACCTACAGGGACATCAAGGTTGTGAGGTCTTGGGTGACTGAGTGGTTATATATGCCTTTGAGTGGTAGTGGGGTCGTCTTTATGGGTTTTGGTGGTATTTGTCCCCTCTTCCACTACTACCAACGGTAGTTAGCACTGACCAACCTTTGTTTCTTTTTTAAACCTCACTAAAGTTAAAAGCTCGAAACTTCTCGATAACCAGTTGAACTTTTATGGAGGAAAAACAATATTGGAACCCTAATCAGTTTTCCGCATTTCCAAGTGCATTGACCAGCAATAAACCTACCCATAAAGAGGACGTTGTTTAGTGTGTAGTGACCAGTAATGACCTGGTTCCCCTCTGTCGTCAGCACCTGCTGCAGCTCGGTCAATGGCACGTCATTCATCGTCAGGATCTGGGGGCACATCATGCTTACTCAACTTTATTAATATTTAAATAAAACAGCATAAAAAGTAATATGAATAAATGCCAATCGAATTATGACAAATTTTTTACTGTGAGTAGCTTTTACAAACCATTTTGATGATTACACACAAATCACAATAGCGTGATGCATCAAATTAACAAATCCACAAGGGTCTGGGATCCTCTCGGACGTAGGTTCGAGCCCTCGTCACGGCCCTTGTGGATGTGTTCATTTTCATGATGTCCCTTAAATCGGGGCAGTCTTACATTGTAATTTTATCAACTCTAAGATTTGAGCAAATCGGTTAGTTCCACAACTTGATCAAAAGTTTCGGCAATATTAAAACGCAGCAAACATGTTAAATTACTGTATTTACGTTTTCCGCACGAGAGCAGTTACTGGTTCCCATGAGTAGTGTAAATTTGGACAGAGTATGATCCCTTTTTGATAGAACCCGTTCTATTCCCCCTCTATATAATAGTGATTTAGTTTGGCGGAGAACCTACGCTAGGCACCTAACTTTCTGGAGGCGATAATCATTAGCCCTATTTAGCCTCAAGACTGCAATGTTTTAAAATTTCTCCAAGCAAGAGAAAAATTTAACGCAAGGATCAGTTGCGTAAAAAAAATAGTGCATTCAGTAAAAGAATACAATGCTCGAGATGCATAATCCATCAAGTTGGTATGCATACGTAATTGCAATCAAATTAAGTAATTAATTTTATTAAATGGATCGTAAAGTCCATGTTAATTGGGTTACATAGCATTTGTTCAAGTACCCACACAGTCTCCAGTCTTCTCACCCCCACCCCTTCCCCTACAGTTCCACGCCAGCGCAGAGTACTTCCACCAACCTGCCTTTACTAGTTTAAACTATAATTTCATCCCAGATCACCTATCCCCCTGCAACCAAACACTCGTCAGGCAACTATCCGACCCCACCTAACCACATCCCCGTCACCAACCCACCTTCTAACCACACCCCATCCCCCTTCAGACATCAAGCCTGCCTACCTACCCGCACACATTTTAGTATGTACGTGTACACATACATACCACAATATGTACACACCACAGAATACAATGCACCCCGATCTAGTATAATATAATGAAAAGTATTTTTATATTACTAAATTATTTATAGAGTAATCACACATGACAACATGCCATCCCCTCCCTCTCAGCTTTATTCAAAAGCCACTTTATAACATCAATTTATTGTATATAAAAGTCTTGTTATCAGCTTAACCGATTATGAAACACTAGGAGTGGCCACAACACGATTTGATTATAAAATGTGCGCTAAAGGGGTCCCCTTGTTGACTTTTTGACCGTCGTGTGCTATACACGATTGACAATCGAATCCACACATTGATGACGGAGCTGGAGGAATAATTTGAGTAGAGATGTTCATCATTCACGTAAATAATGTTTTAGATTTAGCTACTCGGAACAAAATGTCCATGTAGCACGGGCTATGGTGAGCCCGTAAAACTATTTGTGATAGACGTACCTGGAGTGTTTGTGTGTGGAGGGAGACTACGGTGAGGTGGATGAAGGTGAAGGTCTCCCTCAGGACCACCGTCTCCGTCCCACTGCTGCAGAGCCTCGGTAACATCCGCTCCTTCACCGCAACCAGTTGTGCCGCATTGGACTGGCCACACGGACATGCCAGACAAGAAGTTGGATAAATCATTACAACTGAAAATTTCATTCTCAAATTCCTAAAAATTTATAACATGTATTTTTTTTACATTAAGCCCGAGAGGTTGATTTTACACAAGGACAACCTCACGTGAATGACGTAACAGCAATGAGGTTACAGCAGATAACGGGACAATTTATGACCTAAAATTTCAGAAATACATACTCTTGACAAGCTAAATCTCCCTCTGGTTCCTAAATAATGCAGCTGACGCTTAAATTGCAATGATTCGTATCGTACCTATACAAGAGAGACAAAAAGGTCTTTAATTTCAGGCATGAACCTTTGGCATGCATACCTTGCTGGATCCTAGAGAAAAGCAGGAGACTAATGGCTCATTTTGGATAGACAAATACTGACGGAGCTTTGACGTGGTTTGACAAAAGAAATATTGTGTTTGACAGACTTGCTGGATGTCTTAGACCAGTTGTCAATCATGGTTGATTAGCCAATTACATTTTTCTGATAAATGTCTTTACATACATGACGGTATGGTATATACCCCTTAATGCTTGCTAACGATGCAAAACTGATGAAACGAATCTGAACATAGAACGCTACAGATAGACTTGCACAAGCTGGAGATCGTCTGAGAAATGTTACTCTACTTTATCTCAAATGCAAAATAATGAGACTTGGGAAGGGAGAGACAAGGCAACAGGGAAGGCAGCCAAGACTAACAAGTGGCAAGAGAAGGCATGACGAACTTATAGTTACTGAAGAACACTGCCAATAGGCGACCTCCAGTTAAATAGTCTATCCAAGTCCAGTCGATCCAAGAAGCTGATTATTCAAAAAAAATAAGTGCAGAGGCCTACATTTTTTTTATCTTAAACTAGGGTAATATACCCTCATAGGCCTCATTATGAAACTTGCATGAATTATAATCATGGTCTATCTGTTGAACTTTTGATATATATTCACATCAACGAGATTTTAACCAAGTGACTTCACAGTGCAGACTAAATAAAATTTGTTGATTAGGAAATTTAATTGGTGAAGGGAGATGACAATGCGGTTCGCCTATTTCCTCAACGTCCACCACTACACCTATTTCAAAAGACCCTGGGATTGCTGACCTATGTACCGTTAAAATATGAAACTTTCAATTTGAAGTTTTGCATTTTGTTAGCAAGATAGCAGATTGATTTTTGTTTAGTGTTTAAGTACAGTTGGTTTTGTTCTCTACTTATAGCTAAGAATCCCGGATTAGATTCCCAGGCTGGACATAAATTGTTGGGCATGTTCACCTTCACCTAATGCTACTGTTCACCTAGCAGTGAATAGGTACCCTGAAGTTGGCCCACTGTTGTGGTATTGCATCATGGGGAACTTCATTCGTTCATACATATGCATGCATACATACATAGGCTTTGTCCGATAAAACGAATCGAGTCTCACCTTGACTGTGGTTACGTGTCGAGTTGTTAACCTCTTCAGCGTCAGCGGCTTCTCAAAGTTAACATCTCTGTCGTTCATCCAGAAGTCTGGCACCGTCTCGTCGGTGATCTCGTGGATGCCCAGGACGACGACGTTGACGTTCAACCTCGTCAAGTACGTCACTGTACCTGTACCCGTTTGGAACACCTCGTTGAAGATTACATGTCATGAGAGATTGGTCGCATTTCCACCATCACTGAGCGGATTTATAATAAATGTACGTTAATCATAATTACCTCTTCAACTATTTTTCCTCCGAAATCTGTCTTTTCCCATCAACTTAACAAGAAACGACTATGATACTAATGCAGAGAAGAGTTTTACAGTCTTTATAAAAACTATCATTCTTCCAAACGGGATATGGGATTGTTCTGCTAGTTAGGTCTAGTTTGGAAGTAGAATTGGCTACTGAAGTCTATTACACCTTCACAGCCACTTTGACTGGATGGTAGAGCGACGGTCTCGCATCTTTCAGGTCAGCGTTCAATCCTTAAGTGGTTGAGCATCATTCTTCCCCCCCCCCCCGTCCCATCCCAAATTCTTAGCAATTCCAAGTGTTGTATAGTCGTAATGGTTTGGCGCTTTTCCCTGATAATTATCTACCTACCATCACAGATTGGCGCAGCTTCTCAATCCGACGATTGCCTACTAAAACCTACTAACTAGAAAGGCTTAAAAACAAGTTTAATTATGATAACCAAAATATGGAGAGAGGCTCTCTGACCAAGCACTAACTAGCTGGATGCAAATGGAAAGATTTATTCCTTGAACAGTATGGCGTTACTCGTCTTCCAAGGCCAGGAAGGTTGGTGAACGTTCCTCAAGTAGACTACGAACTCCCTCTGCAACGAAGTAGTCGCCCCCCCCCCCCAGCATTACGAATCAATTGTACTATAGTAATCCCTTAACACAACATCAACTCCCTTGCAGGCGATGAGTCACAATAACGTGGCCGATGTATGTTGACCAGACCACACACTAGAAGATGAAGGGACGACGTTTCGGTCCGTCCTGGACCATTCTCAAGTCCATTGTGACTTGAGAATGGTCCAGGACGGACGGACTGCTGAAGTGACAATCAAGATAAACAAATGATCAAATCCACAGCTCTGTCGACAACGAAATAGGTTTTTCAAAGATATTTACCAGTAATTGTGAGGGTATCCAGGGAGACTTGGCCACAGAGGGTAGCCAGGCTGCCATCATTGATGCCCTTGGTAGCTACGAAGTCGCCGGTGACGTTGACGGGGCCGAGGAAGGTCATCGAGGAGGTGAAGACGAGGTTGGAGGTGGTGGTGGTGAGAATGGCGTCTTGCGAGAGGTCCCATCCTTGTATATGACCAGTTAAATTCACCCACAGCATTGACCTCACTTCCCCTGCATAATAAATACGGACTTTAACCCCATGATGTTTCTGTTCGTCAGAAACAGAAGTCTTAAAACTTAAGAGTTTCGTTTGAGCTCATAATCAAGAATAACGAAACAGCGAACAAATCCACAAGGGCCGTGACGAGGATTCGAACCTGCGTCCGGGAGCATCCCAGACACTGCCTTAATCGATCACGTTAGTGTGATCTCTGTGTAATGATGTAAGGGCGAAGAAGGAGAACGGCCTATTGACATAGCTCGGGTGCAAGGGGAAGGGGTGTGTGTAAAAGCCTGGTTTGTGCCTCTGAGAGGCTACGGGATCCAGTAAGTTCAGTAGAACTTCGGTATCAACCCTTTTACCCTGTCGTAGCTCAGACGATTAAGGCAGTGTCTGGGATGCAGGTTCGAATCCTCGTCGCGGCCCTTGTGGATTTGTTCATTTGATGCATCACGTTAGTGTGATCTGTGTGTAACGAAACATCGGTTCTTAAAATATAAATCACAGAAAATGTTGAATATTTTAAGATGATCTTACTAAACCTGACGAACGACAATGTAACCGATTGAGTAATGAGCGCAGCGAACTTGTGGAAGCGAGTGAAGTCGACCTCTTGGATCTTGACCCCCAAGGCAGTTGTAACCCGGCTGGAGGTCATGGAGGGCACCGTCACCTGACCCTCGAGGCTCTGGTCTGTAGTCTTGAGCAGCCAGCCAGCACTGTACTGCTCTGCAGACACCAGGTCAAACGTGTCTGCCAGGAGAGGGTTTGGATTACAATGACTGCTTCGGAATTTGAGTTACAAATGACACTAGAAGCAAATTAAGATAATGGGGCTGCAAGCAACAGCCTGTTGGAGCAAGCTCTCAAGTCAAGCCTGGGCTCGGGCCGGGCTTGGGGAGTAGAAGAACTCCCATAACGCCATCAAGCACGTATGAAACAGGGTTATGCTACTAGTCCTTCAACTAGTTAGTAAAATATGGCGACTCAATCCCGTAGACTAAATAAATAGGATGCGCAGTAAGGATGGGGGATGCTTACCTTGGAAGAACAAGGTAGAGATAGAGGAGTGTCCGACGAACTTAAGTCTGGCGTTAATGGTGGTGTCCTGGTTCCTGAATACCACCTGGCTCGCCAACCTGTCCAAACAAGGAGCCTGTTACCATCATTCGAGTTGGTGGTAGAGAGATTGCTTTTTTCCGCCTTCAATTTAAAACTGTGTACAAACTCTTTACATATTTAAGTTTAATTTACATACGCCAGTCAAGGCAGGCGACGATACGTCTACTACTTAATGCTAAATTTACGAAGTAACGCGCTTTTGATCATCCATGAAAATTTCCTCGCCTTACTAACGAGGCGTTACTATGAACACAATACGTGGCTTCGTAGTGACTTCTGCAGAATTATCGTGTACTTCAGCACCAGAGGCGGCCGAGGGACAGGCCGACAGACCGTAGGATGAGCCACCATTTGGCCGAAAGCAGAACAAGATCAACACAGTTTATGACAAATCGTCAACTGGGATGAATTACGACATACGTAATTACCCCATCACCGTTGAGTCAAGTTTGCGGCCCAATATGTCACCGGTTCATCACCAGTGACTCCTCAAAGTTGGGCTACGAGGCATCTTTTACATTAAATCTCAAGTCAAATCTAAATGCTGCAAATTGACGATTTAATGAATATTTGGAGATCTTGACTGGATATTGGGCTGTCGAGTCAGAACCATTGAAAGGGGCGAGTCTCCTACACTACCTAAAGATTTCCCACTCGGGTAATAACGCCTTTTTTCTTATTCCCAACAACAAAGTTTCGGCTAATCAACTGCCGGTACTCGTCCAATTCCTGATAAAAGTATTTAAGTACAGAGTTTCAGACTACCGTTTTGTATTATAAATTCCTACTTTTGGCAGTTTTAAATACGCGATTACCAATCTATAATTGTCCAACCACTGAGAGGTGGATAGAGCGACGGTCTCTTCTTGCAGCGGTCGGTGTTCTATCCCTCAACGTCCAAGTAATTGGGCACCATTCCTTCTCCCCCTCCCCCCCCCCCCTGTCCCATCCCAAATCCTTATCCTGATCACTTCCAAGGGCAATAGTCGTAATGGACTGGCGCCTTCTGATAGTTCCTTACCTGTGGAGATCGAGGTACCCATCTACACCTTGGGAGCTGACGGTGAAGCCCCTGGAGACCAGTTGCTGCTGCACCACCAGGAACGTCCCCTGCAGGCTGCTGGACACGACCTGCACGCCGCCTGTAGATACCCAACAGTGCAGGTCAAAGACTACAACACTTGCGATAATTTTTTTACCAGTTTATTCCGGCAAATATTTCACACATTCATGGATATGCAAGTTATGACAACTGCTTTTCTACCTGGACTTCTCCTGAGGGAATCTGTGACTAGGTGAGTGATGTTGACGCCGGTAACGAGGTCCACCTTGAAGCTGGCTGTCTTAACGTCGCCCTTCCTCACTATCACCTCCTCCAGGAACCTCTTCTTTCCTGAAGGAGAAGGATTGAAGACACTTAAACCCCTTTATGGCATGTTAGAGATCACACTAGAGACTGAAGTCACTGCACAGGCATTAGACTACTTTTATGTGTATGTCTCTAGCATTAGCCAGACCTATCGCACAGGTTCTCCAAGCTAGCCGTCTTACCTGTAATCACAGCTGTTTCAGCACGTGTCAACAGGTGTCTCAGGAGCACACCTGTCAGTCGGGCCACCTCACACCCCACACTGTCCAAATAATTTAACAATCAATATTCTTTGAAAGGTATTTCTCCAAAGTATGAGACAAAAACGCTACAAGCTAAACGGTAATAAGGTAATTTTGTATGTACAGGACAATACGATGAGGCGATCTTGTCGTAAATCACCTGACGGCTGAAAGGTTGAGAAAGGTGACGGAGGTGAGGATGACCTGCGGTGGGCCAGAGGTCAGCACCACACTCTTGCCGAGGTCAACCAGGTCAAGGTTATTGACCGTGGACGACACAACCACCTGGCCACGAACCACCACGCTCTCCTGGAGGAAGATGGTTGATTTAGCTCCGCCAGAGGGCAGCACTCGCTCGGAAGGAGGGGAAAAATGGGGGCCAGGGTATAGCCATGTAGCAGTTAGGATACAACATTAGGTTGTCACAGCACTCACCGTAAATACGAGGGGGCGAGGCAGGTGGTGGTCACCCCCTAGTGTGAGGTAGCTCCCAGCTGGCATGTTGTTGACGTAACCAGCTTGCAGCTCCCCAACCTCCTGTAACACCAAGCCTTCGGTTGACAACATTAAGGACTCCTACTACCTTAAACTGAAGGTTCCATCCTCTTGCAGGATCAGAAACGGTGCCCTAAACACTATTGTATATTCCCTATAGTGTTCAGAAAGGCTGCAATCATCAGGAAATTTTCACATCAAAAGTATCGTTAATAAATGAGCAAATCAGTCAAATTTGGACGCCTAACTACTGAAAGGTGCTATTAAATTGAACAGCTAGTATCTCAAACCGTCAGGAGTGAATGGTTAACCAGTTTACATCACTATCAGCGTATCAAGGTACCAAGTGAAGTGCAGATTGGCATGATAATGGTGTTTACACGATACACTATCAAATATCTAAATTGACCAGTTGAAGTTTTGCAACGCTCTGTCGGGTGCAAGGGATTATCCGGCACTGGCGAGCCAGATGACATGACAAGATAGTGAGGGGTGACATTAGTGACACTCAGGAAGATGGTGACTCACCGTAGCGGCAGAGAAGGTGAGAGGGATGGTGAGGACAGTGGCACTCAGGGTAAGGGCATGGTGAATCACACGACTCATCTCCACACCGTTCACAACAGAGACGCTAAGCCTGGCCCTTAACACCAGGTTCCTCACCCTCGTGCTGGACCCTACCGGGAGCAATATTTACTTGTAGCAGTAACGAATAACCTTCGTGCATATCATTTGAGCCTAGTGTTGCATTGTATCTTTTCTACAATACTTTTGTTTTCGCTGCCAATGTCAAACCAATACTTTTTAAGGGGGTATAAGTTAAAGTTCTGTATTAATAAATTTTAATTATTTCCTATTCTTAAAATTAACTTTACACATGCTTATGATATATTATTGGAGATAAGGAGTCACAATAACGTAGCTGAGATATGTTTACCAGACCACACTAGAAAGTGAAGGGACGACGACGTTTCGGTCCGTCCTGGACCATTTTCAAGTCGATTGTGAGAATGGACGTGACACAATCGACCTGAGAATGGTCCAGGACGGACCGAATCTACGTCGTCTCTTCACCTTCTAGTGTCTGATTTGGTCATATTATTGGATTACTATGAGAATACAAGAACTAGTGGATAGGATATGCAAGCAGGGAGTCAATAGTGGAATCCAAATTATGCAGATTAACTAATTTTAGGATTAAAATATGCTTCGAGTGTAGCCTTAATACGCAAATGTAGCCTAACCTGCAGAGGTTGATAGGCCTTAAACCCGACACCTAACTCATGAGCAGCCCTTACACCAGTGTGCCTTCCTGACTCTGAACCTCTTGTCGCAGTTAATTTGATATGATATTGGTCTCGTGGCTTTGCAGTAATTATTAAGAATAAATTATATATTAAAATAAAGAATATTACACCTAAAGTGACTCGCATTTTTATTTAGGCCAAAATGTATATAATGCATTGTTATGGAACTTATCTCGGGATTATTTTTTTTAATAATGTATCTGCACAAGGCATAATGAATGAATTTGTCAATTTGGTCATTTCAAAGGCATCTTCGTTCAAGTTTCAAAAATTAGCCACCAGGTACATAAAATGATGCAAGGAAAGCCATGCAACAATTAATCTGATCAACATTCAACCATCTTGCTTATACATGATTATTTCGCTTCCGAAATAGGGTGCAAAGAATCATTTATGTAATATCTAACATTTTAAAAGGTTCAGTGTATCTCCCATCCAAATTCAGTTCCATTGTTAGAATGTGTTTATAAAAGTACATAATTTATCTCCAATTCATCCCTAAGATCAGAGTTAATAATGTGCCCTTTAGACTACATTTCGTGAAGATTAACTACCGATACTCACCGATTAGATCCATAATTCGCCGTTTGTCGTGAACAACGTCGTGTTGTCGTGCAATGTTCTCCAACCTGTAGCCTGCCACTCGCCCAGACACCCATGATACAGACACGAACGATCTCCAAGACTTTGACAACTTCACCCAGCTGCCCAAGTTAGTCTCTTTAGCGCCCGGAAGGGATTTATCAACGCCCGAGGAAGAATCATTCGCGTGTCGAGTGAAAGAGGCAATCAGTTTGGAAATGTCGTCATTAGCTTTTTCGAGGAACCTTCTTCGGCCGTAAAGAATATTTCGGGCTTGGTCAGCCGTGTTCAACTCATTCGGGCCATAGATTTGCCGTATGATTGTCTCTGTATCTGCTGGCAAGTGGTCAGGAAGCAGTCCCTGTACCATCCCCATAGCCACTTTATAGTCTGTCAAGAGAAGACTTAAAACCAGACTATCGAATTCAGAGAAATATTTAGAGTCGTCGGCCAAAATCAAATAAAGGACGTTTCTTACTTTCTTGGCAGTAGCGACAACGAAGGAATGATTGACCGAGAAAACAGGTTGATCATTGGGCCGCTTCCACGGGTTGACTGACAGTATTTCGTTCACGAAAGTCAGCAGAAAGTCTATACGTAATAGTAGTGCTTTATTTCCGGTCAGCACGGCTATAAACTTGTCTATATTGAGAGAAGTTACTTCAGGATACGGCAACGCCGCTGGTAAGCTCCTAAGCAAGATCTCTGAAGCAACTGTCGACTCGTTACGGAAGTTTGACGAGTCATAACATGCCAAGATATTCTCAATCAACTCCGTGGCATTTAATATAAGATGTTCAAGATGTTCAATTATCGACGTGACCGCATTAGAGAACTTGTATTGAGATAATGCTGCGAAGTCCATCGCAGCATCAAAAAGAAGCGCCTCCTTAATCAAGCTCGTCGCGTTCCTGGAACCCAGAGGCTGAAGAGGGTCATGCACAAAATGTTCTACGGTCTCTGCAACGATGCCAAAAATGGAAAAAATCTCTGCATCTAACCGCTGGTCGACCGAGGGACCAGAGAGGTCCCAAGGGTGGGTGGAAGCGACGATGTGAAGGTACTGCCGAAATATCTTGACTTCGTCGATTATCTTAATAGCCGAGTCAAAATCTTCAAGGTTATGTGAAGATATATTACGGCAGTAATCCCCGAGTGAAAAAGATGTGGAATTCTCCTGGTACGGGACCCTGACAACGTCAGAAAGTCTTGAAGGATTAAACACGGTAGCCACCGTAGAAGTGACCGGAAGTCCGGTCTTTACAGATGTGTTGATGTCGGGGGGCGCCTCCGTGGTCAAGATGTCTCTAGAAGAAACTCCTGTTGATGAGGAAGTACGTTGCGAAATGTGCAAGACATCATCAAGAACCTCACTGGCGACCCGAGGACTTGCAATAGGCAAATCCTTTGATGGGTTGAGACTTCGAGTCGAATTGGAGGCGGCTTCTGATGGACATCCTGGACACGAACCTCGAGGTCCCAAGATCCCTACGCTGGAGTTATCAATCAACCGTAGACGGTGACCTTCGTCGCCAAGATTACCCGGGTCGGTATTGAGAAATGAAGAGGGTGAAATAAAGGTCCTCGCCTCTGAAGATAAATTTGTGTTAACTGTATTATTCTCTCCGTATTTAACAGTCTTCAGATAGATGATATTCACACCCGCTCCAAGCGCCACACCCGCTTGAGGAGTGATGTTCAAAGGTAAGGAGACAGTCTTCAGTGAAGTAGGTGCCGCCCCTAGTGTACTGTTAATGGCTAAATACGAGTCATTAACAGATGCCGAACTTGAAGGGGAATTCGTTCCTGATGCAGCATCAGAGTCTGAAATGATATAATAAGGTTTGATAAAGCAACCACATCTGCAGTCATCTTAGCTAGTAGTTACACCTGTTACTCTCCAAGTTACTCATCTTACCAGTACTAGTGTGGTTTGTTGGTGGGAGTGGCAGTGCTCGTGGTACTAGTAGGGTGCGTGTGTGATATATAAATCAAATGATAGTGTAAATATATTCAAGTCATTAAAAAACAAAAATTAAAAATTTTTAATTTTGTCAACGTTAAGTTTAATGGTTATTAGTCTATTACTACAAATTATTTTCAAACTACATTCCAAGGATGTCAAAAAACTGTCGACTCCTACCTGTAAGAAGCACGTCTCTTCTGGTCCTCTTGAGGGAGACTGCAGTAGTCCTGGCCAGCTGCTGGCGGTAGGACGCAAGCATCTGCAGCAGTTGAAGTCTTTCTTCTCTGTTCCCTGGCGGGGCGCTGCATAGCGCAGCCACCTGAAGGCCCTCCCACAACTCTCTCCTCTCCTGGATGATCTCCAACAGTTTTCCCAGTTCGTGATCCACCGCAGCCTTCTGCAGCAGCACCACCTGCTGGTCTGAGAGCCGCGCCATCGTCGTCTCCAGTACCGAACCATACCGGATGATCCTCTTCAGCGTGTTATATATTGCATAAATGGAAGGGTCGCACGTGCTAATTTCACGACGATCAGTTTTATTTATGGAAAGCTTTTGTGGACACACAAAGCGGCAGATGTTGTAGTCACTGTTAGAGGCTCTAGTCCTGCTGTCATCGAGGGCATAAATAAGCAGGTCAAGAGTCTCGAGATCTCGCCGTTCTGCGAGTCTTCGTGAACTGATGAACATTAAGAAAACATCGTGCATGTTCACATCTTGTTCAGCAAGGCGAGTCTTGGCATCAGTTATGACTTTCTCAATGTCTGCTCTGTAGTGTGTGATATTTGCGCGGTTAAACAGCTCGTCATTTTGCCTTTCCCCCTGAAACATGTTATCAAGCAGGACATCGCAGAGCAAGAGATCAGAAGCGGCTGTGTAGAGCGAGGCATAACTGGGCTCCTGGGCCAGTCTGATATAAAAAGCAATGTTCTGCCGATTGAAAGCTCCTCCCCCAGCAGGGTGGAAGTCATCAGAGGTCATTAGATCCTGCGAGGATGTCAAAATCCGGAGCGCCCCCAGCAGCACCTGTAGACGGGCTTCTCCCTCCGTCAGTTCCCAGTCGTGCTGGGTCGTGCAAGCCTGGAGTCTGGAGTCCGCCTCACGACGCTTTCGCTTGTATGTGTAGGAGCCCTCCGAGGTGACCTCCTGAAGCAGTCGCATGGAGGAGAAAGTCTTCCGGGACGTTACTACCTGGAGGGCCCCAACCACACGCAGAAGGTCCAGATTCTTATTGCTCACCTGTCCTCGAAATGAAAAGGAGGGAATTATCAGGGGGGGGGGGAAGAGACAAGCCATTACGACTATATAGCACTTGCAAGGGATCAGGATAAGGATTTGAGATTGGACCGAGGGAGGGAAGGAATGGTGCCCAACCACCTGGACGGTCGGGGATTGAACGCCGACCTGCATCAAGCGAGACTGTCGCTCTACCGTCCAACTAAAGGGGTTGGGCAATACCATCTAGTATTAAAAGGTCCAATATTTAAAAGAGAAAAAAAGGTCAGTATTTACCCGTTATTTTGGAACCTGTTCTGAACACGTGAGTATAAATGCCCTGTGTGGATAGGTGACCAACCTGTTCTCTCGAATAATAACGCATTTTCACCTCATAATCCCCAAACGGACAAAATATGATGTACTATAAATCATAGCGACTCGCAAATATCCACGTTTTCAACGCGTGTGTCCTCCTATTAGGTTCAGGCAATTTAGCACATCCTTTTATGTCCGTTGCAACAACTCTTAGATGACAGGCTATTCCCCCCCCCTACCCATGTGATTTTTCTCTAAATCACCTGGACGAAACGAGCGAGACCTCCCGCAAAATTAAGATGAATCCAAATAGCATAATTCGCAATAAAATAACTTGAAAGGCCTCGCAAATAAAGAAGATGAATACCGTAAAGTGATGTCTATTCCTGATAGTGGAATAAAGACATCACTTTAGTGCTAGTCAATGAAATCTTAGAAATGTCACTTACCCTCAACAACACTATAGAATATGCCTCGTATGCTCCAAGAACAAATTAGCATCTATTATTAAACTAAAAACCCAATTACTCTCAACATGGTTGACGAAAACTTTATTTGCAGGCTGCAAACTTCAAAACAAACTTTGGTGGAACTAACCGAATGCATTGCAAACATTTAATTATGTATTTGCAACAATGATACTGAAAAACGTGCAAGAGTGCACACCACAACTCTTTAATTTAATGTCACAAACTCCCCGTAAACACCAAAATAATTAAACGCTGACAAGGTAATTTTAAGACAAAATTACAGAGGTACGAGAATAAATTTCCTACTCAAGATGGTAGACTCGACCATCTACTTCCACTACTTTTCCTTGTCTACCCCGCTCACGCAGTCGGTATTCGCTACTGTTGGGAAAACTAAATGAAATTCTACCCTGACCCCCAATGTGCTATATTGTGTTATTTTACAATATTGTAATTTATATTTCTACATTTGCCCAATGGGTAGAAATGGGGATTTCTATTTCATCGATGGGGATTTTCCCTTCATCTTATCCCGCTCCTTTGCTTCGTATCCCACATTAGTGCTATTTAGTCGTACAGGTTTAGCGCGCTCTCTTCAATAACTTTATGGTATTAAAAATGTATTTAAATTCTAAGTCAAACAGTATTCAGTTAAAAGGTAGCAATGACATCACCCCTGGACACAGCAGGGACGCCAGTACTGTGTATACTGAATATTTCGATCCCAACCCGCGATCCTCCTCAGCAGTGAGCGAGAATAATGACGCCAGTACTGACCGTGATGGTGTGTAGAGCGGTGTTGATGGTGAGGGAGGCGGCGAGGAGGTGGGTGAAGGCTGCCGACGACACACTGTAGGGAAGGTGATAGTGTCTCTGGAAGACCTCACCTGGCACCCTCACACCGTTGACCCTCCCAGTCACCCTGGCTGACAGGCACCTCATGCCGCCCACACGGTGATCACCTGCAGTGTGGAGAAAGTTATTACACCCGACCACTATACGGCCATTACCCGACCATAACCTGCAGTGTTGCAGTGTGGATAAGGTTATTACACCCGACCACTATACGGCCATTACCCGACCATAACCTGCGGTGTGGATAAGGTTATTTCACCCGACCACTATACGGCCATTAGCCGACCATAACCTGCAGTGGATAGTTATTACACCCGACCACTATACGGCCATTACCCGACCATAACCTGCAGTGTGGATAAAGTTATTACACCCGACCACTATACGGCCATTACCCGACCATAACCTGCAGTGTGGATAAAGTTATTACACCCGACCACTATACGGCCATTACCCGACCATAACCTGCAGTGTGGATAAAGTTATTTCACCCGACCACTATACGGCCATTACCCGACCAACCTGAACCTGCATTATGGACAACCTAGCAAGTGTTCCAGCCAATATACGAGCACTTGCCTTCATCAGTACTTGCTTATATTGAATACCGTTCTGTGCCGACAATTACTTAAAATACTGCTACCGGTTACCTATTAACCAATACAGAACACTGCATGACGCCATCAGAAGACCCTTTTGGTGCCATGAAACGGGAATCGACCCCGATTCATTGCTCTGAAGATCATTGACGGATGTTCGAGCCCAACTTCCAGTCTTCGCTTCTTGTGCCAGGAATTATAAACATACTGTACTGTAGGTCATTTTGTATTAATAATTAAATTGTCCCATTAAAGCTTTATACTTAAGCTTACTGTAACTAGGCATTATTTCATCATTTCCAGTTTAGTGGATTTTAAACACTAAAACTAACCGACGAATTAAATTCTACATTTAATTTACAACATGATTTAGATCTAGTAAAAAATAAAATACGAAAAATAGCAATTTTACGCCGGTCTTCGTACTGGAATTTTTAATGCAAATTCGCTAAACCTAAAATGTAAATCGTTATTGCCTGGGTAATTAACGCATCTTCCAAGTATTTTGTGTCACTCGAAGATTAGCCACGCTGACAAGACTATAAAGCGCCCTGTCTGCCTTGTAATTTTTTTAAGTAATTAAAAAAAATACGCCATGAAATTATTTTAAGAAAAGTCATTATTGCTGGCGTGTTTCCTGGGGGAGGAGAGGGCTTTGACGGGCGCCGCTCGCAGCGGCCTCTTCCCAGGCCCAGATAAATATTACTTTCTTGTCTTGGCCTCAAAGATATTTATAATTTAAGAAGCGCGTGAGAGACGGTCCTCCAAGCACTGGAATAATTGCACTTGTAATAAAATCTTTGTGGTTTTTACCCTTGACTGAGTCTGTCGAGGCTGCGAACAGCTTTTTGTCAAGGGTTGTGTCTAGGTAGGTAGGTATGTAGGCTGTGCTTGTAGGGAGAGGTTTAGCTCCTGGGCTCCTCCTTTCATTTACCGGTCGGCTGAAGTCAAGGCTCGTGGCCCAATTGCTTTATATCCCACCTGCTTTTGAAGCTGTATGCTGTTGGAATAAAAGGTTATTAAAGCTAATTTTTCAATGCACTCAGAAAAGTTCGTGTTTATCCTCGTGCTTCAGTTTCTAGTTCCTTTTGTGTAAAATTCTTTCCTCAAGAGCACCATGTTTCGCCAAAAGAGCTTCAAGAGCACACTCGAGTGAAACAAGTCCTGGTGATACGAACCGTCTTTAATGAAAATGAACGCGGTTAAAGCCGTTAGCTTAACGAAAGGACTGGTATCTCATCACTGGGAATCATTCCTGACGGCAGAAAACGATCTTAACTTTTCCAGATTTAAGAAACCCGAATTGTGACGTCCGAGTTTTCCCGTCTTCGTCCGAGTGATATTCCACAGATCTTCAGCCGTTCAACCACTCAATGCATGGAGGACAGAAGAAAATGTATATATGCTGGTTAGCATTGTAAATGTGTGGCCACGTGTGTGGTAGATAATAAAAAAAATGCATGTTAAACTTGTCCCGAGGGGGAGGGGGGGGGGTAGTAGTTGACAGGACACAGATCAAGATAAATTCGTCTTTAAAGTTTCCTTCTCTGAATACTTAGACGCCACGAGCTGATGATCAAGGTAAAAAAACTACCTGCAAAGATTTTTTTATTTTGAACGCATCAGTTAGTCGTCGAGCCAAAATAGGTTTTGATACTGAAGTAAATTTAACATTTCTACCGTTAGAAAGTGGTAAGAGAGTACGTTCATGTCAGCATCTGCTCAATGAACATGATCAAACGTTCCTTCCAAATGTCATGGGGGATTTTAACATTTCTATATTGTACCTCACTGAAACGGCCCTTGTGGATTTGTTCATTTGATGCATCACGTTAGTGTGATCTGTGTGTAAATTATACCTCAGTGTAAAGGAGACCTCGCATAAGCCCAGATTTGTATAGTCAATCACTATTAAATTCCACAAGACCACTAAGATTCAAGACTTACCGGTAACGACCTGGTTCTCAAATCTGTCCAGACGGAGGAGGTTGTCTAAGATGATACTGGCGGTAATGTTGGCTTCCAGGTCCCTGTGGTAGACGAGGTCGCCTTCAACAACCACGTGACCTGTAACTGCACCACACTAAGAGTTGTTGATTGTTCGGGGTCAAGAGTCCGGCACGAACAAGCGGCCATTCGGCTCACACTTGATTTATCAATAATCTAACGAAAGAAAGTATACAATTGTTGTCTAGGACTAAATCATTGCAAACTCGTCTATTTGATATAGTTCTCAATTTTGGTTGTAACCGTATTAGAAAACCAAACGCTTACATTAGCGCTTCATGAAAATAGTAAATTTAATTAGCAAATTGGAAATATCTAATACATCATAAAATTTTGTCAAATGGGTATCGAGAGGGAAAATGATTTGGAAATAAATTCAAAAAGAAGAATCCGAGGCTTCATCTATTAGTATTTTGTCGGTAAAGCTATTTAGAAGGGAAGGAAACTATCAGGAGAAAGGGAAGGGAACTATCAGGGGGGAAAGCGCCGAGCCATTACGACTATATAGCACCTGGAAGGGGGTAAAAATAAGGATTTGGGATGGGACGGGGCAGAGAAGGAATGGTGCCCAACCACTTATGGACAGTCGGGGATTGAACGCCGACCTGCATGAAGCCAGACCGTCGTTCTACCGTCTAGCCCAAGTGGTTGGAAAGCGTCAAGTCATTGCGACTATGCAAGTACAGCTATTTAGAAGAACTAGAGAAGGTTAACGCAGGGAGTCTACCAGCCGAGGTGGTGTGCGAGACATCTCGCCGGAGCAGAGAGCTGAAGAGTTGGTCGATGTTGATGGTGTTGATGGTGGTGACGCGTACATCCTTGGCGGCCATGTCTCCACACGTCACTATCCCTGGATAAAGTTTCCAAGAGTCGTCGACGTGTCATGTATAGTACTGTTATTTATTTCTAAAACCCTCCCCCCCCCCTGGTAGATAATGAAAATTTTAATAGACTGAAATAGTATAATTTAGCAGGCCAGCCAGGCCAAACTATTGGTAAACTTTCCTACAATATTTTCAAACTTTACTAGTGCAGGCGATGAGTCACAACGTGGCTGAAGCATGTTGACCAGACCATACACTAGAAGGTGAAGGGACGACGTCGTTTCGGTCCGTCCTGGACCATTCTCAAGTCACAATCGACTTGAGAATGGTCCAGGACGGACCGAAACTACGTCGTCCCTTCACCTTCTAGTGTGTGGTCTGGTCAACAAACTTTACTAGTCCCCGATACGGCACCTGCGTAGCTGTGAATGTTGGTGGTGAAGAGAACGTCCCTAGCGACCCTCACACCGTCCACAGTCGCCAAGGACACCAGGAAGGACGCCGCCAATCTCCCCCTGAAGGTCACGTCCCCAGAGACGACGTGACGACCCGAAAGCGTCACGTAAGTAGACATGGCTCGACCCATCAGCAGCTTCTCCACCCAAGTCGCACCCTGTGGAAGGAACACAATGTATCAAGCTACGTGGCCGCCTCTACTTCTAAGTGTTCCAGCCGCGCTGGAGCACAGAAAGCCACAGCTACCATAAGCTACACCAAATACGAGATTTGTTATTTTCCGCATATTTTTCTGCTGCTGTAGAAAAATTCAGCTGCTGTGGCGAGTTTAATTTTTTCCAGGTGATTATCGCAAGCATTAAAGCATTTTTATAGCGAGTTCTAATTAAACACGAAGTTACTGAAAATTCTTGTTAACAAGGTGTTAAAATATTTGCTTAATGGATCTGTGAACAAAATTCGTCCATTGATAAAAAGGGGGTAATATATAATTGCAAACTGTAGATCATCCAATAGGTTTACACAAGTCAATTTACGAGGCCTCACGAAGCCAGAGGCAGGGCCCTGAACTAGGGAGCCACGCTAGCTCCAGGGGATCGAACTAGTGTATGCTAGAATCGTTACCAGTGGATCAACAAAAGACCTTTCTTACCCGCGACAGAACATGCTCAAAAGTAAACATATCCCGGTTGATGCTGTTTCTCATGTTCAGTCTAACCAGGTGGTCGTATATCACAGATTGCCCGTTGACCCAGGCTGACTGGAGGCTGCTGACAGAGGACTCTGCGGACACCTGACTTCCCTCCACTCTTGTCAAGTGCAACCCAGCTGACGAGAAAGATTAGGAAACCTAAAAACTCTCTCGCTAATCAATTCTTAAACTCATTCGTATAATGCTTGGGATAGACTGCTGGATTTATCAATTTGATTGTTTCAGTTGTGACTATGGAATATGTAGCGACTGTTCATGAAGTGTCATGTAGAGGAAATTGAGTGGATTTTAGAGGGGGGGATTGTAAACTGGAATTATGTAGAGAAGTGAGTGGGAAGTGAGAAATATAATTCTTTAAATGCAAAATGGAATGGTGAAAGGTATGTAGGTAGGAAGGGAATGGAACTATTAGGGGAAAGCGCCAAGGCATTACGACTATATAGCACTGGGAAGGGGGTCAGGATACGGATTTGAGATGGGACGGTGGGCAGGAATGGTACCCAACCACTTTGCCAGTCGGGGATTGAACGCCGACCTGCACGAAGCGAGACCGTCGCTCTACTGTCCAGTCCAAGTGGTTTAGGTTGAAAGGAAGTTAGGGTCATGATCAGTACTGACCTGGCCAAGTGACGGGACCCTTGTGAATGACGACGTTCCTGAACCTGGCGCGGAGCTCTGCGACCTGGAGCTGCAGCCTCTCTGACACCTCCGTCAGGTACTCCCACGAGGGCGGTTTCCACACCTCCGTCGACCTCGAGTACACCTGCGACACCCAGGTGGAGTACATTTAGTACAGGGAGACAACACAGTATCAAGAATATGTTGTGAGCCAATCGACAAGATTGTACTAAATTCCTCACGTCCTCAAAACCAGCCCCCTATCCCCACGTGGTCAAAGCCACCCCCCCCCCACGTCCTCAAAGCCAGCCCTCCAACCCCCCACGTTCTCATAGCCCGCCCCCCCCCCCCCCAACCTCTACCGTCGTCAAAGCCCACCAACCCAAAGGTCAAAGCTCATCTCCAAAAGGAATGAATCGGACAAATCATAATTTTGTATTCCATTAGTCTACAAAGTATATTGGAAAATCTGATCTAACATTAAGAGATACCCAATCTTTTTGTCATTTTTCACACTTAAAACACATTAGTTTCAGGTAAATCCAGCACCGTCATTCTCCAGCAATACATAAAACAATGTATGTAAATTGCAACACTGAATCCTTTAACAACAAATGAAATCAAGACACTGACTAATTAACATTCACGAATAACACATTAAACAGCTGTATGACATGCAGCTAAAGACATCTTCCAGCCTACCTTAGTGGCCCCTCCCAGCCTACCTTAGTGGCCCCTCCCAGCCTACCTTAGTGGCCCCTCCCAGCCTACCTTAGTGGCCCCTCCCAGCCTACCTTAGTGGCCCCTCCCAGCCTACCTTAGTGGCCCCTCCCAGCCTACCTTAGTGGCGTGGCTGGCCAAGAGTACCCTCAAGTGACCATGGAGAGCGACTGGCTGCGTGAAGGTGTACCCATAGGTGGTTTTAGGCGCCGCCTTAACCCGCTTCAGAAGGCTGGTCACATCCTGCCGGGTCAGCTCCAGCAGACGCTCCCTACACCACTTCTGAGAGTTCTTACGAAACTCCTGGAGTGAGGAGAGACGCTGGTCAGCAGATACAGGGGAGGGGAAACTATACAGGATTAAAAGGTACTCTTAGGAGAAAAGGGGACGATCGTGATTGCCAAAGAGGGGGGAAAATGGGGTGTAAGAGGGGTCATTGAGGCAGGATAGTCTTCGCAGTGTTCAACTGCTTCGTTAGACATTTGGCGTAGCGCGAGTCTAACGCCAAACGAACTCATTTGATGCAATTATCGGGAGAACGCAAGCGCCCACACGCCCATACATACACACAAGGAGGTAGTTCCACAGGCACAATCACACAAGCAGGGGTCCTGTACACGCACACAACCTACCTGCAGGGACTTGTCTCTACTGAAGGTGATGGCGTAGAGTGTTGGTTTATCTCCACCAGTCTTCTGCGGGTCTCTGTTCGTCACGGCTGTCAAATGAACCGGAGTGTTAGTGTATATGCAATGTTGCAAGCAACTACTCTTACCTAGCCTCGGTCCTACTGTAACAACGCCCTTCTGCAATTACTACCAATCCCCAGCAATGACATTACGACTCTCAGCAATTTCCCAACCACCTACCCACCCCTGTAATCGCCCCTGGGGGATTGACAGTAGAAATAGACACTGTTCACACTGAATACTAACAGAACGAAGGGACATGGGTGGATGGTGGAAACTCAATCGAGTCGGTTAAGAAGTTTTCTTTTAGCGTGAGTAGTGGGAAAACTGAATTAACTTTAGTTTGCTTCTACAACCTGCTCCTTTTTCATAATTTTAAAACTTTGATATGTTAGGGAAATGGGACAGGAGATGCTGTAAACAATCGGTGGCTAGAAAGACGGTATCCAAGAAGCAATTCTCGATCCTGCAGGTACAAATAGGCGAGTTGACCAGACCACACACTAGATAGTGATGGAACGACGACGTTTCGGTCCGTCCTGGATCATTCTCGACCGAAAAGTCGTCGTCCCTTCAGTTTCTAGTGTGTGGTTTGGTAAACATATTTCAGCCACGTTGTGACTCATCGTCTGCAACTAGGCGATTATTCTAGTTTAATAATTACACTTAATAGCTCTAAAGATAGGTAAATTACACACAAATATTAATGATATATGTACAGGGCGATACGATCATGAAAAAATTAGGAGGAGTTTTGATGAGAAATCGAAGCCGCACACTTGACACTATCAAGCACATGTCCAAGACCACTACACCAGGACATGGTAAAAACAATGCAACCTGGGTTGGAGGTAGAACACCCGTAAGCCAGAGGGCATTTTAGTGTGTGAAACCCTGATTGGGCTTCAGTAGAAGCTTCAGGACAGCTTGAGGATACAGTCGAATCGCAGAATTAATTGCTTTTACCATGTCGTGTTGTAGTGGTGTAAAGCGTGAGCTTCAGAGTAGCTAGTGTGCAGGTTCGAAATCTTCCTCATGGTTCCTAATTATCTTATCGATACATCACATGATGCACAACGAAATCACATTAACATTCCCACCTCAGCGAAGTGCATAAAATCTCTCAGAAATCAACATTATCGTGATATCAATGAACAAATCCACAGGAGCGAGGCTGGAACACCCAGCGTGTAGGTTCGAACCCTTATGACTTTTGTGGATTTGTACATCAAATTACAACTCGTGCACAGGACACAGTAAACAACTGTGACTGCTCCCAGCAACAGCCGGCATGCAAGCACATAAAAATCAACATTGTTTATTTTATTCCAACCATAAAAACATTTAAACAAGCACGTAAAATAGATCTTCATTTGTATCAAAATATTTAACACTAACTCAAGCATGGTGTCCACCCACACGAGACCAATAGATTTAAATATTGGGACCCTTTACTGTATTTTCAATCTAATACTATTAATGGGGGGGTTGAAAAATTCCTTAAGAATCTTATTAAATTACCCAATGCCAGAAACGCTGCACAGTTGCTATTATCACTAAAGCAGCACAAGTGGCCGACCTTATCTAACACGACTGATTCCAGAGATGTCACACGCATTACAACACGCCCCACCGTGAGTAGGTAGAATTTGGACGGAACGGAATAATAATAGGAACTGGGCAAGTTGGCGAGCCACTATCGCTACTAACGAGTTCGTTATCATAACAGTACAGGTTAACCCTTACCTTGAGGCGATTCCGGGGCTCAGCGACCCTTCTGCCCGGTCGTCGCTCATATTACCCTAGCCAGGGATACAATCTTTTGTCGGCCATGATGATTCATTTATCCAGTGCTAGACATGATGGGTGACAAAACTACATTCGTTTAATCTGGTCTAACCAACCCAATTTGGAATGAATATTATGCTGTAATTAAATATACGAATCTGAGACCTCACGTTCAGCCAAACATCTTTAACAACTGAAAATATATTACGAAACTTTTTCCGTGATGTTTACAGATGGCCGAGCTTGTCTGCAAATAAAACTCTACTCCCACAAACAGTCATGGATGATTGAGTATGGGTTAATACCTATCCCCCTTAGGGAGCCTGTCGGCCGAGCGGACAGCACGCAGAACTTGTGATCCTGGGTTCGATCACAGGCGCCGGCGAGAAACAATGGGCATTGTTTCTTTCACCCTATGCCCCCCCTGTTACCTAGCAGTAAAATAGGTACCTGGGTGTTAGTCAGCTGTCACGGGCTGCTTCCTGGGGGTGGAGGCCTGGTCGAGGACCGGGCCGCGGGGACACTAAAGTCCCGAAGTCGTCTCAAGATAACCCTCCCCACCTACCTTTAGAACCTCTAAACAACCCCTTCCCCACTTACTAGCTCCCACACATGCCCTTCATACACTCAATCACCACTCCGACAAGGCAGCCGTACCTACCTATAAGGATTGCATTATTCCATGTGATAGTGGCCATTCGGGTGACTCCAGGACCAAAAGGTCCTGCGAAGTACTGTACCGCAGTGGGTTCGAACCTCCAGCCGTTGTACTGAAAGAACTTTACGCCCGCCACGGCGTTTGCCACGGCCAGCAGCACCGTGTCCTCTACCTGCTCCACCAGGGACGTCAAATGCGGGGGAGAAGATGCATGTAAGGGACAAGTCTACATAGTATACATGGAGGTAGATCTATACATATGGATTAATCACATAACCTAATTTGGAAATGGTCGAGAATAGGCACTTAAAAAACTAAACACTATTAAAGCAATAAATCCTGCGTGTAATGTTAGTTTTTAAATAACTATGGTCCAAAATTAATCCTCAATAAATTATGAGAAGTGCCAATGGCGGATGGTAATTTGTCCAAAGAGTAACAAAAAATATTTACATGTTGAACCAGCAGAGGCTCGCCGTGGACCTACAGACCTGGATGGCAAGCCACTGGACGGCGTTCGAGGTACGGATTTCCTGGAAGGCGACAAACTTGCCGTAGTGGTAGCGGTAGATTGTCGAGCTGGTGTCCGGATTGCAGCGGCCTGGGAGTCGAAAGCGATTATTAGTTCGTAAAGCCTTTCTGTTGGATCATCTTTTGTATCCTCGAGCAGTAATATTACTCTAGCGCCAGATAAATATCCGGTTAAAAATTCTGAGACAATCGACTTGAGAATGGTCCAGGACGGACCGAAATGTCTTCGTCCCTTCACTTTCTAGTGTGGTTTGGTCAACATATTTCAGCCACGTTATTGTGACTCCTCTTCTGCAATTCTGAGACGTTTATGGAAGGGAAATTATTTAATCTGGTCTAGAGTAGTACAGGACTATTACGAACAGCAGGATAGCGGTATAGTTAATCCTGCCCGCTGCAGAAACCTCCTATTTAAGTACATGTAAACAGAGCAGCAAAACCCACCATTTTGGTCGTCCTGGCAATAGTTGGCCACGGCGAGGAAGGTGTCGTTGTGGCGGGTCGTGCCCAAAGTAAAGCTTTCGAAGTTGAAGGCGCCCTTGGTGAACACCTCCTGAAAGAGTACATAGTGACCCGCGTCCGGAGAGTAGCGGTAGATCATGCTGTAGCAGTTGTGCTGACCTGTGGGAGCAACGAAGAAGCTGGCGAGCTCTTGGTGCAGTAGGATGGAGGACAGAGAATTACAAATGTTTTGATAAAGGCAATTCTGCACAGTCCAGACACCACTTCACACAAGAGATGCCGTCAATTAGCCAGGTGCGGATGCACGCACACGTCAGGCAACAAAATCCAGACGAACTCTGTTTTTCCCCATTTGTAAGCGCGTTCGAGGCTACCTCGAATTCCCTCACGAATATACATTGACGCACGGCGCCACCCCTTCCAGTGGCCTCATCTAGGCCTTAATCTTTCAAAAGGACCATCGATAATGAGTGCCAGGAAGCTCTGCAATTCAACCCCCCCCCCCCACACACACACACTAATGACTGCCACCATCAATGCCTTGTGCCTATGAACTATGATGCCAAGTTGATTCAAGCTAACTAGTTGGATCCTCAAGCCAAGTCACTTATATATTGCTGTGATTGGCTTGCGTGTGCACTTTTAGTTTGTATAACTGCACCAGGCAATGGCTCTTGCCAGACTTAAAAAGACTAAATCATTACAAAGTTATTATATAGTCACTGACCTTAGCTAATGCACTATGATTGAGCTAAGGGCCAGAGACGAGTTCAATCCGATTACACTGCCTAAATATTTTATCAGTTCCTCTTAATTTCCCATGGGCGCCTAATCACTGAGTGGACGGTAGAACGGCGGTGTCGCTTCTTGCAGGTCGGCGTTCAATCCTCGACCGTCTAAGTGGTTGGTTGGGCACAATTGCTTCTCCCATCCTCCCCCATCTCAAATCCTTATCCTGATCCCTTTCAAGGGTTATATAATCGTAATGGTTTAGTGCTTTCTCATGAGAAATATCTTGCCTACCTTCAAGAACTTTCGTGATTGTTTTCACAACTTTACTGTTGTGGTCGCGGATTTTTATCTGTAAAATCTCCATATAAACAATCCCATTCAACTTGCCTTTATTGTTCCTGAAGTTGGCAACGGCTATAAAATGGGTGTTGCCAACGAGGAAGTGCAGGAGGCCCCTCGGGTTAGTGCCGGGCAGCTCTTGCAAGACGTCGAAGTACTGCCCGGTCCAGTGGTAGAGGCGGGACACTGTGTGATAGTTGGTCTTGTTCACCCGCTTGGTACCCGTCGGAGTGGAGATTAAGCGCTCTATCACCTCCTTCGAGTCGGCGACCAGAAGGTAGTTCTTGCCACCTTGGATCCTGTTAAGGGGTGAAAGGGGAGAGAGGGGAAAGGGGGGGGGGTCGTTACGAGGGTTGATAAAGTAGTGGTGAAACACAGGTGGAATGGTGTGGTAAGAACAGTGTTAAAGAGAAGGGGAAATATACTGAAATAGAGGAAAAGGGAATTGAAAGGGTAAATTGAAGATGAAGGCTTACTCTCATCACTAATGGAGCATAACATTGACCTTACAACACACCTTTCTCTCACTTTCAAAAGATGCAACCAATATCATCCACCAGTGTGTGTACACAAACTGCAATAAACAAAGTCTATCGAAAACAACATTCACACTAGACAAGGTCCTATAATGTTTATGTAAACAAGATCTTCCAGAATATTGTGTGTATCGACAGAATTTGTCACCTACTGCACCATCTACACCTGACAGTTTATATGGGGGTAGTAGACTATATAGAAATACAAAACATGACTTTCAGCCCAGTCCAACTAGTCACAGTAACGTAACAAAAAAGAAAAAGGCTGAAATCGAAACTATGTTGTCATGCAGTTCAAAAGCTTGAACCAATCAGTGTGAGAACTTTGATTTCAGCTTTTGCTAGGATAAAACTGGTTTACAGTCTGAACCCCCCTCTTGGCCCCCCCTCTCCCCTCTTGGTAGTACAGTCACACGATCATACGGTTCTCCGTCCTCTCAATTAGTACATCTCATTTCTGTACATTGTGGTGCCCCAAAGTACAAAGTACTATGGAAAAGTAGAGGATCACAAACATACGTTTCTATGCATTTACATCATCGTCTGCACATGTAGGTTAGGGGGGTTGCCTGGGTGTGCACGTTTCCGGTTAGATTAGTACTATATATATTTCGTACGTTGTGATAAATGCAAAATAAATGAGCTGGTGTATCATTGTCATCGGTATCAGTGGGCATATTTTTTCCTCTAAATACTCTATATTTATAAATATATAAAACGCGAAATTATATATAAAACGCCTCAAATCATATATAAAACACCTCAATTCATATATAAAACACCTCAATTCATATATAAAACACCTCAAATCATATATAAAACACCTCAAATTATATATAAAACACCTGAAGGTTCCACACAATCATTACCTACCACATGATCAGGTCGAGAGAGTGTTCAGCCTGAATCTTTTGCCAGAATTTCAAGGCAATATTACCAGAGATCCCGTCCGTCACCTCGTAAATCATCACCGCCTCGTGGATGTCCTCCCTGAAGGCCGTGCGTTTCGATGGGGCGAAGGGGACGATGCAGGCCAGGAGTAACACGTCGCCAGGAACCACCGTGAAGTCGCAGCTGCTCTTGCCAGGGATGGTCAACGCGTACGTCGCCTGCAGGAGGGGAGGAAGAGTGTCAGGGTGTGCGGGTTGCAGGAGGGTCGTCACCTCGCTTAGTGCTGGAACAACAGACTGGGGCAACAGTCTTCAGAGTGGTGCACAAGATGCTTAGGGGGGAACTCAGCCATATCCTACAAACTGTAGGGATAGTTGAAGATGTGGTAGGGAACCATAGCCCACTCCACTCATGATAGTGAGCAGTGGGAGCACCCACCTACTCTGGCTGTGGCAGTTTAGGTGGGGGGACGGAAGGGTCACCATCACTTATGGTGGGGTTTTGAGAATCATTATCCTACAGTTACATAGAGGTAAACCAGTAATCAGTAAGGTATAGGGACGACCACCATCAACCTATATAGTGTAAGTAGGGTGACAACTAACCTGCCAAGTGCGCTGGTCTACGGTGTAGAGGGAGACGTTCATGGCGTTATCGATGATAGCGACGATGAGTTTACCTCGCCATACTGTCATGTGGACGGCCCCAGCGCCTGGCGCTCCTAGTCTCACAGCGCCCTCTACCGCCGCCAGCACTGGGACACCTGACAACAGAATGAAATAACACACAAGGCTGTTCTCCAGAACGTCTCAGATCGTCAAAAACGTAAATACAAGTTAGATTAGGACATTAGGTTTGGTTGGCAAGGTAGGTGTTTGTTCTAAAATCCATTGGCAAACCCTGTTGAACGGATTCAGGTGTTCAAGCGTCTTTAATGGTTGTAACTACATGGCTGGAATCAGAGGCAAAGCCAAGTTTATTATAAATTAATGAGGTACCGACGGTAGTAAATTGAGTAGAGGATGTCGTTGCACTGGAGGCTGTGGTCTACTTGATTGTGTATTCCTGACAGCAGGCCGTGCTGACAGCAGGCCGTGCTGACAGCAGGCCGTGCTGACAGCTGGGGCCCCTTCCCCCACGTCCGGGTAAAAGGTTACAGATTACCTTCTTGGGTCCAGGAACGAGAGAAGCAGACGACGACCTCAGTTTTGAGGATCTGACATGGCACTCTAAGCAAACTCAAATTATCACCGAGGTGGTGTTTGTGGAGGCTCCGGACGCCCCTTCGACACCATGACGCTTAGAGTACTTCCAGGTGTGAGCAATGAGCACTCCAAGTACCCTAAGTGTATATATATACACACAGCGTATAAATGATAGGTGAATGCATGACGTACATCACTATCGAGGTAGTATACCACAACACCCTAATACAGAACGGCCCTAAAGCTTACCTTCAGCAGTCAGACTCCCTATCATACACTCTTGACAGTCATGTTTGTTACGTTTCGTTAGCCTTTTCTGCCAACAGCGAGTTTGATATAGACTGGCCTGAAGATACCAGATACACAATCTAAATACCCCCCCCCCCCCCACACACACACACACTATACAATAATGGTTTTACAAAGTCAACTAAACCAAACCTATTTAATGCAACTATTTAAGAACCATGTTGCCATCCATGTTCTTCTGAACTTGCCCCATTCATAGGCATGTATCCGAGATCAAGCAGAAAAGTAAGTTTATATACATAGTAACGACAGAATTAAACAATTACAGATCACCAATCAAATAATTCTGTAAAGGAGACAAGGGAAGCGTTTACCAATTTTCCACCTGGGGAAAAAATAGTTATGGTTCAACACTTAAAGTAGATTTAGAAATTATGAAAGATATTTGCCAGAGGAGCAACTAACTTACCTTCTGTGTCTCTGAGGCTGGTGAAGCCCTCAAGATGATCCCGCTTGCTTCTGTGATGCTCTGAACTACTACCGGTGGGTGTGATGACCTTGTCCTCGACACTTCCGACTCCAGCGCTGACCACCTTGACCACCTCCTCGACCTTCCGTCTCCTTGACCATCTTCCTCCAGCTGAAGGACAGATTACCTCTCTCCTATCAACTACACCCTTTATCAATCTTGGTACATCTTTATTACATCTCAAGATGAAGGCGATGAGTCACAATAACGTGGCTGAAGTATGTTGACCAGACCACACACTAGAAGTTGAAGGAACGACGACGTTTCGGTCCGTCCTGGACCATTCTCAAGTCGATTGACTCGAGAATGGTCCAGGACGGACCGAAACGTCGTCGTCCCTTCAACTTCTAGTGTGTGGTCTGGTCAACATACATCTCAAGACGATCAATTACACATTGCAATTTTCTAGATTTAGCTCGTTTGTTTTAGTCATAATTTGTGCAGTGTTTAAATCAAACAAACTCGTAGACAAAAACATAATAGAACATTGATCAAACATTTCACCCCATCGCATCTATCCACCCCTCATCAATCCACTGCTGTAACTAGTGAATACTAATACAAAACGTATACTATTATTCACAAAAAACACAGGCTAGCGGAAGAGGAATGTGTGTACTGCATAAACAAGGTGGAAGCGTCTTGGAGGCCCGAGACAAGCCATTACAAGGACGTCTGTATGTACATATATCTCCAATCACAGCTGCGTTTATTGAGACGTCGATGGAAGCCAAGTCCCAGACGTGCCACAAGTCCAATCCAGGACCGGACTTGGGGCTGCCAAGACTTCACCCATTGGCGCTGCCTAACAACTTTAAGAGCAAGTTATCGTGGGCAGAATAAATGGGACGTTTTGACAAATTTGGTCCCGTAATTTGAGGGAATAGAGTCGATTGAGACGAGAATTTGTAGTTACATCAGGGAAGGCTCGTTGGTGTCTAGGATAATTTGGGGGGACCAAACCACACACTAGAAAGTGAAGGGACGACGACGTTTCGGTCCGTCCTGTACCATTCTCAAGTCGATTGTGAGAATCGACACAATCACAGGCACAATCGACTTGCGAATGGTCCAGGACGGACCGAAATGTTGTCGTCCCTTCACTTTCTAGTGTGTGGTCTGGTCAACTTTAGCCACGTTATTGTGAATCGTCGCCTGCATTTGGGGGGACAGGGAAACTCTGCTGGAAACCAACCAAGAATATATAATCTTAATGAGTTAACCTTAAGTTATCAAGCTCATTAAAGCTTAATGAGCTTGATAATTGACTTTCAGAGACTTGTGTACGACTGCTGCTCATGAAATATAAGATATACTTTCTGACTACACACAAATCACAATAGCGTGATATACCAAAGGAATAAATCCTTATTAAGGGCGGTGATAAGGGTTCGAACCTTCGTCTGGAATCATCCTGGACGTTGATTCGAACCCTTATCACGGCCCTTGGGGATTTATTTATACTTGCTGAATATTCAATACAGAAATACGTGAATGTGGCTTAGAATGCTGGCCCAGCCCCTCCACTCCGGTTCCAGCACTTACGCACCCAGCAGACGCGAATCAGGGATTCGAGTGCGGAGGTTAACCAGGTCGTCAGCCTTCGTCAGCAGCTGCCTCTTGAAAGCTGTCAGCCGAGCCTCTGTTGACACACAAAGCTAAACCGTTTATATAAACTAGTCCCAATAAAACTGACTCCTACTTTTATGTCCAGCAAGGGATTTAGTAAAGAAAAATAATTACATTTGCATGTCCACACATTTAACTTACTCCCATATCAAGTTTTGGAAAGATAATCCAAGCTTTTTAGTGCACAAAAAAGAAAACTATTATATTCCAGAATATATTTCTAAAGTGTGCTTTTTTTTTATATAACCGCAATTAACCTTATCTAATAGGACATCACTGGGAACTAAAGCCTAGTTATACTAAAAAAAAAAAAAGTACCTACGGGCTCACCATAGCCTGTGCTACTTGGAACTTTGTTCCAGGTAGCTAATCTTTAACATCATCTGATCTTCATGCATTATGTTTCTGAATTTCTGAAAGAAAACTTCAGAAATACATTGCAACCAAAGTGAATGCAATGACTGCCAACTTCAATTGAACAATTGAACAGCATATTTAAAAGTTCAAGAAAATCCCTCACCCAGGTCAGACGTCTCCTTCCTGAGGACATAAGGTTGAACTGCTTGCCACATGGAGCTCAGTAAGCCTACGTCGTTTAGGCCTATGTTTTCAGCCGGCCGCACCGTACTGCTTCCCAGATCAGCCACATCCGGAGAGACTTCAGCTCCTGGGCGCCCAGACCTACCCAAGCAATGATTTAATATATGCTGGTTAGCATTGTAAATGTGTGGCCACGTTTGTGGTAGAAAAAAAATGCTTTTAATGGCCCTTTTTTGTGCTGTTAAAAAAATCAACTACAGAAGGTCTATTGGCCCATATGAGGCTACTTATATCCACCGAAACTCTTATATGTCTAACCTACGCTTGAAACAACCCAACGATTTCACGAAAATAAGGTTACCTAATCATTTTTTTAATAAATCAACAAACCCCGTTTACAAACCAGTATTTACCCAAGTCATTCCTGAATCTATACTTGTTCAATTTATATCCAATGCTTGGAGATGTATTTAAAATTGACAAAAAAATAGACTATTACAAAATAGTCAGGTTTCACTGCACTATGCTTTAGTCAACACTGGAATAATGGGTAATTAAGCATTTGCAGATGACATACAAAGGCAAGTTCACGTAGAAGTGATTGCCAGGTGTACACACTGACCTGTTGTACATCTGTCCACCAATCTCCAAGATCATACATGTCACTCCTGTCATGTGTGAATTTATATATATTTTAATTACTATTTACACCACCTAAGCTAACCTTTTTCCGTGACTTGTAAAATCTGGCGGTTGCCTACACGCTTTCAGACCGGCAAAGCTGTAATTATTTCGTTGGTTCATGACTGAATACAGACCCTGAGGCTACAAAGAAACCTATCCATTAGTGGTAATGGATAGGTTTAGTCCAAGTCCACAATCGACTTGAGAATGGTCCAGGACGGACCGAAACGTCGTTGTCCCTTCACTTTCCAGTGTGTGGTCTGGTGAACCTATCCATTACAGCCTTAAACAGCGCCGTTTTCAAGTAAATGATATTTGTGACAACCCCAAATGCAGCTCTGCAAGCTGCATTGTTCTTTATAGTACTGAAAACAAACCGTTCAAGCCAGTTTATCATAATTATCGAGGTTATACACAGGTATATCATACCTATTATATACCCATTATCCTATTACACAAAGTTAGCAGTATAACCGGTTATAACACCTGGACTAGGCCTAAATCTCAACATTCCATTTAGTCCAGTTGCTCTGACGTACAAGACCTAAATCCAGACAAAGGTAAAAATGTATTAAATTAGAAGTTTCGAGTGAAATATTGCTCGAAAACATCAAGTCACGATTCGCTAAGCTGTCTTTGTACGCCCAATGCATACATAGTGGCAAATTATCCACAGAAAGGCACCTTTTCTCTCACACAGACACACACACTTAACAGTGGAAAGTGATGGCTGTTCTAGTTAACATTAAGTCTATATGAGGACCACTTAACATAATTTGAGATACTAATCCATCATCGTGACCAGGGACTTTGTGAGGGCTTTGATCGTCCTTATTACAAAACCCAACGTCTCATTCCTCATCTCAAAAGACCTCTCACATCCGTCCATTACCCCCCACATTAATTCTGTCTATAGAACTGTCATTATCGTCATTCGTGAGACTGAGAAGTCCCAAGAAGTATTTAAGTATTTCCGGATGTAACGCAAAGAAGTTCCATATACCAATTTGGTGGTGCTGTTACGTTTTGAATAATTGTATATTAAACCTTTACTAACCTCTTGGTTGAAGCGAAGGTTATCCAGGCTAGAGTGAGGAGAAAACCGACCAGTAGTCGTGATGCCATTATCGTTATCCAGGGATTGGGATGTCAGCTTCACCTGATGTGTGTGCGCCTCAGTCCCCCCCACCGGGATGTCACGAGGTGTTTGGGATTGTGAACAATACGTCAGATTGTTGGGTTAACGTCAGCTTCAGGTCTAACAATCATTCTGTTCAGGGCTTTCATATAAGGGGATTTATATTTTCAAGAATTTACAGAATCTGAAAAAAAACTATTCTATAGAAGTTTATAAGATTCTTATTGACATCACATTTGATATGCAAAAAGACATTCCAAATTTCAATATATATTTTTTACCGAGTTTTAGTTTTATTTTAGTCACATGCAACTAACAGCCGTTTCTATAATGGAGTAACGCAGAGGTCAACTGATGATAGAAGTGTTTAGTTCCCATGGCGTAGTGCATGCACACTCGCCGTGAACACTGTCCTGGGTTCGTATCCTGGCCGAGGAAGATTAACTTGTCGCCTTAACCGTAGCCTTTGTTTACCCAACAGTAAAATGGGTACCTGGTTGTTAAACCAATTTGGCGGGTCGTATCCCGGGGGAACACAGGATTAAGGACTTGCCCAAAACGCTACGTGTGCCAAGTAATTATCAACAGAAGGCATTGCTACACTAGTGGAAAAGTATGTAGCAGTGTGTAATGTTGACCAGACACACACTAGAATGTGAAGGGACGACAACGTTTCGGTCCGTCCTGGACCATTCACAAGTCGATTATCAACCAACTTGAGAATGGTCCAGGACGGACCGAAACGTCGTCGTCCCTTCACATTCTAGTGTGTGTCTGGTCTAGTCATCATACTTTAGCCACATTATTGTGACTCGTCGCCTTCAGTCTTGTGTAGTCATGGAAATATAATAAGAATATGAAGTACTAGCATGGAATCCGCATCTCGTGAAAAACTTAATAAAACCAAATTTGCAGCAAGACTATAGTACCTATATTAAGAGAATTAAGCTCGTAACTATGGAGGAGAAACGAGATATGATCCCAACATACAAATTACCGATAGGAATAAACATTGAGGATAGCGCCAGCCTCTTTAAATTAAAAGAAAATAGTAAACAAGAACACAGGGATGTAGGGGAAAGCGACCTAATTACGAACTTTCAAGTAATACCTCATCCCTGAACGGGTGACAAGGCTAAATGAACGAGAAGTCGTGGAAGCCACCTCCATCAAGTTAAAGACAAGATACGACAAGGAACTAACGTCAACTTACAAAAAAAAAAAAAAACAGTACGAAACTAGTAGGGAGCCGGTCGGCCGAGCGGACAGCACGCTGGACTTTTAATCCAGTGGTCCTGGGTTCGATCCCAGGCGCCGGCGAGAAACTATGGGCAGAGTTTCTTTCACCCTATGCCCCTGTTACCTAGCAGTAAAATAGGTACCTGGGTGTTAGTCAGCTGTCACGGGCTGCTTCCTGGGGGTGGAGGCCTGGTCGGGGACCGGGCCGCGGGGACACTAAAAAGCCCCGAAATCATCTCAAGATAGTGCATAAAGAGCCAACCCACAATTCCCTGACCACCACTAGGCCAGCACAAACTTCTGCTTCATTAGATTAAGAAATTTTGTTTCGGAGGGATATTTGTGTTTTTCTCCCGTCGGTAAATATTGGAAAAGTCGGCAGCTGAAGCATGCGTTCATCAACCGCATGCGTTCATCAACCGCATGCGTTCGTCAACCGCATGCGTTCGTCAACCGCATGCGTTCGTCAACCGCATGCGTTCGTCAACCGCATGCGTTCATCAACCGCATGCGTTCGTCAGCCGCATGCGTTCGTCAGCCGCATGCGTTCGTCAGCCGCATGCGTTCATCAACCGCATGCGTTCGTCAACCGCATGCGTTCGTCAACCGCATGCGTTCGTCAACCGCATGCGTTCGTCAACCGCATGCGTTCGTCAACCGCATGCGTTCGTCAACCGCATGCGTTCGTCAACCGCATGCGTTCATCAACCGCATGCGTTCCTCAACCGCATGCGTTCGTCAACCGCATGCGTTCCTCAACCGCATGCGTTCGTCAACCGCATGCGTTCGTCAACCGCATGCGTTCGTCAACCGCATGCGTTCGTCAACCGCATGCGTTCGTCAACCGCATGCGTCAACCGCATCGCATGCGTTCATCAACCGCATGCGTTCATCAACCGCATGCGTTCATCAACCGCATGCGTTCATCAACCGCATGCGTTCATCAACCGCATGCGTTCATCAACCGCATGCGGCGTGCAGGCCAACGCCAGAGGGAGGAGAGGGGAGGGTAGAGGCCCAGTTGATGGTCCCTCCATACTATTATTCAACTCATCAATTAGTACGTCTTTTTCTAGACGTTATGAACGTCTAGAATAAGACTTCGCCACGTTCAAAGTACCATAAGACTAGCGGCTTACATATACATGTTTTCTATACATCGAAAGACCAGGCTACGGGTGTTGATAGGGTTTAAACGCTCCTGGGGTCAGATTCACGAAGCAGTTACGCAAGCATTTACGAATCTGGGGCCAGATTCGTTACGAAGTTACGCAAGCACTTACGAACCCGTCCATCTTCTCAATCTTTGGCGGCTTTGTTTACAATTATTAAACAGTTAATGAGCTCCGAAGCACCAGGAGGCTGTTTATAACAATAACAACAGTTGATTGGCAAGTTTTCATGCTTGTAAACTGTTTAATAAACATAACCAAAGCCGTCAAAGATTGAGGAAAGATGTACACGTTCGTAATTGCTTGCGTAACTGCTTCGTGAGTCTGGCCCCTAGTTAGGGCGGTGGATTTTGTACGTGGTGGATAATCAAGACTGCGTTATTACTGGTTCTAATTGCTTGCAAACTACTCGTGTGGTGAACACGACTCAATACCCTCCCCCCAAGATGGTGCTGTGCCGAAATTTCAAAATCAAAATTTCACACAAACCAACAACATAGTCACGTGGATGACTATTCTAGGCTGGATAATCCACCCTCTAAAAAAAATATATACGTTAGGAAGTGAAGAGGAGGGAAGTATCAGGAGAAGGCGCCAAGCCATTACGACTATATAGCACTGGGAAGGAATCAGGATAAGGATTTGGGATGTTACGGGGGGGAAGGAATGGTGCCCAAACCACTTGACGGTCGGGAATTGAACGCCGACCTGCATGAAGCGAGACCGTCGCTCTACCGTCCAGTCCAAGTAGTAGGACCAAGTGGTAAGGGCAATGTTACTTGAAACCCAATATCTGCTGGGCAATTCTTCTCATCTTCCTGTCAAGATATTTAAACCTTTTTCTATATTTACATCACACGTGTATAGAAAGTACTCACCAAAACGTCGTGGATGTGGTGGTGGTGGCAGGCCTGAACAGCTCCTGTGTGGTGTACTGTTGCTACCACTGGAGGCCCTGTTGCTCACCCCACAGACACCAACACACCACTAACAACCCTCGCCGCCCTTCACTAACTGATGGTTTAATAACGCGAATCTTCTCAACCTTTCGGTTTCAACAAGTGACGCATCTGGTCAACAGATGGCGCTGGTGAAGATTGGAGTCGCCCCTCACCAAGCTGGTAAAGAGAGAAGTCTTGCCAATGTTAGGCAAATCCTTGGAAATGTATTCCCAATGTGAAAACCTTTCCTAACCTAACCTACCTAAGTCAGTAAATTATGCTCCTAGTTTATTATTATTGTTAGAAAAGAACCAATTTAGAAATAAATATTTGAAAACAACGAAAATCTTTCTGCCAGTTAGCAGACTTCTAGATGTTACCACTGCTAGGCTTAGGCTCGGCTACAAGTACCTCTGGGAATTTGTAACATTTGCTGATGTAGATTTGACTAAATGTAAACTCTGTCAGCAGAACTATTCGCATACTTTGCGTCATTATATAATGGAATGTGAAAAAATCGCGGAATTTAGATATAACACCATCAATAGTGTCCAAGAAATGTGTAAGTACTTCATTCAAAATGATGTGCTGCTCGAAATCTTAGCGAAGTATCCAAAATTTGCTTACTGTAGGTAATGCATGCACATGACTGTAAAGCTCCCGCCCAGTTGGGTGGGTGTGGAGCACATGACTGTAAAGCTGCCACCCAGTTGGGTGGGTGTTGAGCACATGACTGTAAAGCTGCCACCCAGTTGGGTGGGTGTGGAGCACATGACTGTAAAGCTGCCGCCCAGTTGGGTGGGTGTGGAGCACATGACTGTAAAGCTGCCGCCCAGTTGGGTGGGTGTGGAGCACATGACTGTAAAGCTGCAGCCCAGTTGGGTGGGTGTGGAGCACATGACTGTAAAGCTGCCGCCCAGTTGGGTGGGTGTGGAGCACATGACTGTAAAGCTGCCGCCCAGTTGGGTGGGTGTGGAGCACATGACTGTAAAGCTGCCGCCCAGTTGGGTGGGTGTAGAGCACATGACTGTAAAGCTGCCGCCCTGTTGGGTGGGTGTGGAGCACATGACTGTAAAGCTGCCGCCCAGTTGGGTGGGTGTGGAGCACATGACTGTAAAGCTGCCGCCCAGTTGGGTGGGTGTGGAGCACATGACTGTAAAGCTGCCGCCCTGTTGGGTGGGTGTGGAGCAAGACTAGTAACTGTGACTCACCATAGATGTAAAGTGCCTTGTATAGTGACTGTTGTGAGCCTCTTGTTGATTACTTATGACACACAAGATTATTGATGTGTGTATTTGTGTGGGTGATTAGATATGTATGTGTATGTGTATACGTATATATATATATATATATATATATATATATATATATATATATATATATATATATATATATATATATATATATATATATATATATATATATATATAACTGAAAACTCACACCCCAGAAGTGACTCGAACCCATACTCCCACAACTGGTATGTACAGGGACGCCTTAATCCGCTTGACCATCACGACCGGACATAAGGAAGTGATAGCCGAGGCTATATGAACCACTTCCCCGCCGGCACTCGGATGGTAATCTTGGGCATAGCATTTTATCAAATCACCTCATTCTTTGGGGCACACGTGAGGAACACAAATGCAAACAAGCCTGAATGGTCCCCAGGACTATATACAACTGAAAACTCACACCCCAGAAGTGACTCGAACCCATACTCCCACAACTGGTATGTACAGGGACGCCTTAATCCGCTTGACCATCACGACCGGACATAAGGAAGTGATAGCCGAGGCTATATGAACCACTTCCCCGCCGGCACCATTCAGGCTTGTTTGCATTTGTGTTCCTCACGTGTGCCCCAAAGAATGAGGTTATTTGATAAAATGCTATGCCCAAGATTACCATCCGAGTGCCGGCGGGGAAGTGGTTCATATAGCCTCGGCTATCACTTCCTTATGTCCGGTCGTGATGGTCAAGCGGATTAAGGCGTCCCTGTACATACCAGTTGTGGGAGTATGGGTTCGAGTCACTTCTGGGGTGTGAGTTTTCAGTTGTATATAGTCCTGGGGACCATTCAGGCTTGTTTGCATTTGTGTTCCTCACGTGTGCCCCAAAGAATGAGGTGATTTGATAAAATGCTATGCCCAAGATTACCATCCGAGTGCCGGCGGGGAAGTGGTTCATATAGCCTCGGCTATCACTTCCTTATGTCCGGTCGTGATGGTCAAGCGGATTAAGGCGTCCCTGTACATACCAGTTGTGGGAGTATGGGTTCGAGTCACTTCTGGGGTGTGAGTTTTCAGTTGTATATAGTCCTGGGGACCATTCAGGCTTGTTTGCATATATATATATATATATATATATATATATATATATATATATATATATATAATGTGAACATGTATATATAACATTAATAATTTTGTAACTAGCCTCAAAAATTGTTATTTGCTTAGCTAAACGAACTAGAGGGTTCAGTTCCTGAACCGATTATGTTCCTCTGTAACCCTTTACACCACCGCCCACGGGATGGGTATGGGGTGCATAATAAAGAAAGAAATTGAAGTCAGGCATATTATATATATATATATATATATATATATATATATATATATATATATATATATATATATATATATATATATATATATATATATATATATATATATATATATATATATATATATATATATATATATGTCGTACCTAGTAGCCAGAACGCACTTCTCAGCCTACTATGTAAGGCCCGATTTGCTTAATAAGCTCAGTTTTCCTGAATTAATATATTTTCTCTAATTTTTTTCTTATGAAATGATAAAGCTACCCATTTCATTATATAAGAGGTCAATTTTTTTTTATTGGAGTTTTAATTAACGTAGATATATGACCGAACCTAACCAACCCTACCTAACCTAACCTAACCTATCTTTATAGGTTAGGTTAGGTTAGGTAGCCGAAAAAGTTTGGTTAGGTTAGGTAGGTTAGGTAGTCGAAAAGCAATTAATTCATGAAAACTTGGCTTAATAGGCAAATCGGGCCTTGCATAGTAGGCTGAGAAGTGCATTCTGGCTACTAGGTACGAATAAGTCTATTCTACCCACTATGGGTAATATTCTAATATTCTAATATGGGTAATATTACCCTATTACTATGGGTAATATTCTACCCACCTCAAGACTCCGCTCCAATATAGAAGCATCAAGAAATATGGACCAATAGGCTTTCTACAAACACTTCTATTCAATACCCATTGTTTGTGTTCTGTCTTGTGTTGATACTTTTAATACCCTATTAATATCCCCTCTTGTTCTGTCTTGTGTTAATGCCACATCACCCCTCCCACCTCACTCAAATGTAGATATAAAATCGGAGATACGTAAGTTCTATTCAGTTGTGTATTTGTGAACTAAAGTCTTTGAAAATGTAATAAGTTTTACGAAACGCGCCCGTGTCGCGTCAGAAGACTAGAAATAAAAATGAATTTTGGAGAATTAATTTTTGATTTACCTCCAACAGTGAAGCGTAATGTACGAAAGATTGAGAAAATTCGTGTTAGAATTATTAATCTTACTTTTTCGGTCATATTAATATATATATATATATATATATATATATATATATATATATATATATATATATATATATATATATATATATATATATATATATATATATATATATATATATATATATATATATATATATATATATATATAAAATGTTCATTATATGTATATGAACATAGAGAGTGAGGCCACGATACACTCTGGCACTCTGGATAAAGCCCAGGCACCAACCTTCCTTATCTGAAATTGATCTCATTCTCACATGCCCTTAACCTCTCTCGTTTTCCTTAATAGAAGCTTATTGACGATAGAGACGGTGGTACCCGAGTCAGCTTACACTTCCCACCCGTAAGGTCCATTCCGGTTCATTATACTCGGCTTAGCTCCCACCAGCAAGCTTAACCAAAAAGAACCCGGTGGTTTATTTATCAGAAATTCGGGTTTGTGGGTTTTTGGAATACACGTGAATGCGTCTGAGAGTTGGCAATGGCATTATGGATCCATTACTGACCTGCAGATAAAGAGGTTTTAAGGAACTATTCACTCAGGCTTCAGGGTCGAGGGTCTTAAGAACCGGGAAAGCGTTGAAGAGGTTCTCAAAAGACTCCAGCAGGAGACGGAGGAGGAGGAAGTAATCGCGTTGAGCGATTACAGCTTGAAGGAGATTTATTTTTGCATATTGCACTGCAATAGGAATAAGTGTCAGTATAATGACTGGCATTATGAATAAACTTTTGAGCTAAATTTGGTAATATTTTGAATGGAAAAAAATCACGTAACGAAAATAAAGTTCAGTAAGGCAGAATATATAGACATAAAAGATTGTTCTTAATTAGAAACTCTTTGGTGAATAAGAAAAAACATTTCAACATCATTTTGTTTGTTATGTTCTTTTTTTTAGTTATTTCGGAACACCAACCACGAAAAGTTAAGCCGGTTTCCTTAATTGAAAGTGATTTCTTGAGTGTCTCGATAATAGTTTAAATTCCTCCAAAATAAGAATTGTCAAAATGCTATTCTTATGGGAACTTCACATTAATTTTTAAATATCTGCGTAAATGAACGCGTAGAATAATCCCAGTTACAAGAAAACACACAAACACCTACCCGTCCTCAGACTAAGTCCATTCCATCCAGCGGTAGACCCCAAAGACGCATTAATAAATTTTAAAATGCTGTTCATTTAGAATTGGAATTTTTTCAAATATAAATTAATTTTGGTATATATTAGCATGTTGTACATATTTAGGCATTGGTTAAGTTAGGTGTTTAGGTTCTGTTGGCGATTATTTGTATTTCTAGTACGTGGGTGAAGCATTTACAGCGTTGTGGTTCGAACAAAATTCGTCAGTGAAGCACTTGTTCCGGAAGTGTTCGAACGAAATTAGTTGAGAGTCCTGTGTAAACCGTTTTTCATTCATAAACAGGGGGGTTGGCGGGTGCATGGAATCACTTTTGTGTTTTTGTTTGGAGGACGGGCTGTTCAAT